CCCCAGCCCCAGCCCTTCGTTTGCCTCCCCGACCCTTTCACCCCCTTCCAGTCTCCGGGTAAGCAGTTGGGCAGAAGGCCCGTGATTTTTGAGAAGTTGCATAGGTCTCCCCCCCCTCTGCCCCTCCAGGCCCTCAGACCCCTCCATTAGCACAGACTGCGTGGGCGTTTGACGGCTTTTGGTTATAGTGTCTTTTCAAGAGAGCTCATACCAGAGCTCAGGGTTCAGGGCTGAACTCCTCGTCCCAGACACATACTGTTGATGGACAAACCCTGCTTAGCGTTTTGTGTGCTGCCTCCACCCATGCAGTAAGAGTCTATAATCAGGCAATAGTCACAGCCTTATATGTTCACAATATGCTTGTTTTCCAGCTGTTACCGAGTGGGGGCAGTATCCAAATTATGGTACCATGGTTCCCGAAGATTCTTTTAACCTACTTAATCGACAATAGAAGTGTCTCGCTACATGTCAGCAATCGCGCCCAACATAGGTACTATTCATCCACACTTGGTACGGGTGGCGGGGTGTCATTCTATACTGATAAGCGATATTAATCGATACACTAGATGGGGGCCTCGACTCTCCTACCTCGAAATGAACATGAGAACCAAGCTGGCTGAAAACGGCTGACACCTGAAGACCGAAGACCTGCAGAAGTCGTCGCGTCAGCCCTCGCCTCCGGTGTGCAATGGAGGCTCAGGCTTTATCGTCCTCTAGCCCTCGCCCGGAGGCTCAGGCCTTGTCGTCAGGCATCAGAGTCATAAGCCCTCGCAATTAGTACAGACTGTGAGAGCTTTTGCCCCTAGGCCTCCCTCCCTCCTCTATGCCCCCACCCTTAAACACCCTCCCAATCGCGGGGTGGGTATAGCCCCATAAGAGCTCTTGGTTATAGTGTCTTTTCAAGAGGGCTCATAGCAGAGCGGCACCAGCCCTATCCAGCCCTTTGAATTCTCTGGACCGGTAACTTGACACTGCTCACATGCGAGCCATTACTGGCCAGTGGAATGTCGCAGGAAAGAAGATGAGGCTCAGGCAACGCTTTCACGCAGAAGATGAAGAATGCGTAGAAAATGGCCACGTTTCTTAGCAAGACGATTTTTGCAAGGCACAGCTCTGAAACCCAGGCGGCATCGGATGAAATGCAGTGCCAAGCAAGGCGGAGCAGTAGTGCCGTCATCGGCCGCTGATGTGGCATTTCTGATCTGAATCTGGTATCCTCTACTTCAATGTAGGGCTGACGACACTTGCTATGTGACTCTGCCTCAGCGAGCTGCCAAACGGCGACAGCTAGAACATGATCAGCTTTCTGCCTACTTTCGCGGAAAGCAGCTGGCAATGCAGTCTCCGCAACTGACTGCAGCCGAAAATCATGCATTTGATGACCATTACCTGAGTATGCTTGTCAAAACACGTGAAATATACTGTTTAGCCCATGGATCCCTTAAACTGCTTTGACAGCTACTTCGGGGCAAAACAAAGCCTGTCCGCCGGCTGTGGGCTTGTAGCTAAGTGGCTTGGCATCCGACAGGCCGAGCACGGATAAGATGGCGATCAACATTTCAGCAGTGGAATGCCTGCCCTGGAAATCCGGAAGCTCATGGAGTTGGGACTCACGGAGTTCACTGCCAACATCTTCTCCAAAGATGATGCAGCATAAGATGTGTCCAGGGACGCGCAAACACTAACGCAAACACTGTGGGTAGCGCGCTGGGCTGCGGGACAGTCTGTTGACACAGGCTGGTAGCAATTGCGTCCGGACCGTGCTCTCACGTGGAGGTGCTGCTCAGTGCTCAATCAACACCGACCATGTTCAGCTACTGGTATCAGGCTGCGACTCCCTAGAATTCGTGACTGGAAGCTGCCCAAGGTGCGGTCAAGGTGCGTGCTGCCCCACGGCATCTTGGTCTTCCATTCCGATGGTGCATGCGTCTATTGGCTGCCCGTCCATCAGCAACTGCAGGCCAGAACTACTTTCTTACCACTTCTGTCATTGCATACCCTCAAGTCGCCATATTCTACATGTCGTGTGACAAGTGCAGCAGGATGGGCCTGAGGATTGAACCAGCAGGCCGGGTTCTCGCCAAGGGTCAGGTTCATTCCGGCAAAGCCTTGGAGACTTCCGACAGCCCTAGGCAATCTCAACATCAGCATGACGTAACATAACGTATAGCTCTTTAGACACTAGACGTCTGCCACAACTTATGCGCTGAGCCAGGGCACGCAAAATCCATGTTTCGTCATCACCGTCCATTGCAGCCTGGGTGGGTGTCATTTTAGTTGGCCTTCAATGATGCTGCAGCCACATGCTTCCAGGCATGTACACCCCACATGAACAAGCGGACGCATTGCAGACAAGGTTGCAGAGATCTTGGTCGGCAGCGCCCAGTGGCTAAACTTGAGTGGAACCAGCTGCAGCTTGCATAGAATCACAAGGATGCTAGCTTCTTGGATCTGCCGCCCGGCAAGGGCGACTGGATCAATCATTGTCGGTTTCAGTATGCTGCTCCAGACTGCTCAAACCTGCTGTCTTGCCTCAAACCACTCAAATAGCATACGTGCATGACAGACCCTGAGCTTGAGGCCACTTAAACCCGCTTTTTTTTGCCGTGTTGACAGACCTCTTGTGCGTGAAGGTTTTTTGCAGCTGGAAATCCCGCGACATGAGTGAAAAGCTCTCTACCCATCAATCGTCTGCAGATAAAGAAGTGCGGCTATCCCTGATGTGTTTGCTTCACTGATGTCTGGCCTAAGGCATCGGTTAGCGCGCCCGGCGTTTTTGCAAAGGGTCCTGCAGGCCATCAAGTCGGGTCTGTGAAACTTTGACAATCTCATTATCTTTAGGATCGTCATTGGGTTTGAAGTTGGAGAGAAAACCACCAGCGAAGCCATTTGAAGCGCGGTTTCAAAGGTTCAGGACGCTCTGCAACTGCTGAAGCAGGGATGGCCTCTCGGAAGTCGTCGTTGTGAGGCCGGACCTGTCGTGGTGCGAGGATGCGGCGGGTGGGACAAGAAAATGAAGATCAGAAGCCTTCAGTTTGTGTAATGCCGGGTGTGACTGCTTGGGTCTAGCACGTTTACACTCTTGTATGCTGTTTGCCTAGCTAGCATGGTAATCGACAATTGGCATGTGGCAGTACACGGCACCATGCTACAGCGAAGCTACAGTCATGACGTCTTGCTGATGCTGCACTATCACAACTTATGATTCATCAATCGGCCTCGGGATATGACGGTGGCAGTGACATGTCGATGTCCTGTTCGTCATTGTTGTCAGGCAGCCGCTCTGCATAGACCTTCGCAAAGCCGTGATGTGGAGTACTGAGACTGAAGCTGCAGCTGCCTCGCACATGCATTCCATCGCCTCCTATGCTCCTCCAGACCATCCAAAGCTGGGCTTATCTTTTGCAGCATGTCCCAGCTCCCGGCAGTTCGAGCTTTCGTTCTCATGATGAACTTCTTGGGCTCGGCGCCGATTCTTAGAAGAAGCCGGGTAGTGAGCTGGACAGGCGGAAGTCAGTCATCATGCTTCCCCGCTCACTAAGAAATCTACGGCCACGGATCCCCGCCCGGGTTTGTCAGCAGGGGTGTAGCCTGACAATAGCTGCTTGTGCTTGGCTTACTCGTAAACTCCGAATGGACACTTGTGCATGTCACGCATCTCCACAGAAAAGACACGCACATCACTGAAGCAACTCCATCTGCTCAATGCTGGAAGTTTCAAGCAAGCAGGTAGGCGTGGCGTGCTACTTCACTGCCTTGGGAAGATTCCGGTGCTCGTCAACAAAGCTGACGGCACCTGCCTGGCCATGTGAGCTAATGTTTGTGACGCTACTGACACGTTCAAACGGTTGCATTGCTGAATAGACCCCCCGCCTCCAAGACCACTTTCTCATTTGAAGCACCAGGTGGAATCGCTCCCTGACTTGCAATCTCTGTGCGGTTTCAAGGCTTGAAAACATGAGCACACTCGCTTCTAATTGAAAATGCCTTCATGGACGCGAAAGCTTTTGCAGGATAGTGTCTTGACACGCGCTGCCTGACCCTTGAACAGAAGCGTTCCAAACCGTGCTTCAACTTCCAGACCTTGGCATAAATACTGCACGAACGCCGGTAGTTTGTAAAGGTTGTGCGTTCTTCCGACTGAAACATTCACGAGCACAACCAGTATTCGGGCTTGAACTCAATGGAAATAATGCTTTGTCTGCGAACAATCCGTGGGAAGCTGGCTTGTCCAGTCCAAGTTCTGTTGCAGCTTTAATGACACTAGTGGGTCTAGTTGGAATATGAACTGAGCTCCCTGCACCTCAGAACTCAAACTTGCTCTGCTCATTCTACAAATACGTATAGACATAAATAGCAGACATCTGGAAGGGTAGCCGCTTCCCGTCGAGCCCTTCACACGGAAACAACACCAATGCCATGCCATGCAAGCAGATTCGCATGTTGTGTATCCTAGGCGCGGGCCCAACTCTGTCTGAAACCTGCCAGGCGCACTCTTAGCTTGGCAACGTGGACATAACCATTGCTTAGCAGGCTTAGCAATTGCATGGAGTTGCTGGCCACGCTTACATCCGTGAACACGTAGTATTCAGTACCCCAAGCGTTGCTCGTGTGCCTGCCATTGCAAGCATCCAGGAGCGAATCCTGAATCCACGGGACAATCCGGACTGCAGGTGCATGCAACTAACTCACATCGCCAACATGTCCTCAAGCACCGTCGGCGCTGGTGACAGGCTCTCCTGCTACAAAAGAATCTTCATCCAGTCTGCTTGCTTTCCGCAAAGGCATACGAAAAAGTCAGCAATGACAAGTCTGCAGCGGCGGTGCGCCTTCGGCAACGGTCTCAGCACCTGCATGGATAACTTTGCAAGCGCTCTCCTAAAACAAGACTTTGCCCCCTTCCGTTGCAGGCTTGATGGACAATATTGGACAATCCAACCAAGACTAAACAGATCCGCATGCTGGCTGGGCAATGGTAGTTCAGCATTTTGCGTGAACCTCTAATTTGGAAGCCAAGGCACTTGCACGGCCGGGCAATGCTCCGTCCAGACAGACCATCGAAAGCCATCATGCACACGAAGCCGAAAGGTGTACACGGTGCCAACGGTGAGACTTGGCCGTCAAGGCATTCACTGCTGTGCATAGTGCTGCAGCTGTGTGACAGCTTGCATCTTGCTGCTGCAACATGGCCGAAGACCGAGTGTCGCACTTCTCCCCATCAACAGGCAAGTCCTGCAAGCACGCGCTGAACTGCCAGCCTACACGCCTTCACAGCCCAGTAGGCAAGTTACTCATTCAAGCTTGCCGAAGCCAAGGGCCAGCCAGCCTTGCGGCAGAAGACGTCTCGACAGTTGCATGGAGGTTTGGCCTTCGCCCATGGCAGAGCTGGCACAGCAACATGTGTAGGCATTGACCGCCAAATCACTTGCGACCTAAGTGCTGCCAAAGTCTCCAAAGTCTTCCTCCGAATTAGTAAGAACCATCCATTAGCCCCGCGAAGCTGCATTCAAAGCCAATGCGCTAACTTGCGCGACATGTCAATGTGATGTGCAAGGCTTTGCTCAAAGCTTGCTCCCGCGTGGCGCGAGGAACAGCGAATTCAAAAAAAGACCAGCGAAAATGCAGACTAGTGGACATACACATTTCGCTGCGTATGACACAAGGCTTCCAAGGTAAACTACAAAAAGCACTGGCGGCATCTGGAACCAAACTTCGAACAGCGTCCGCTTGCTGCAAACTGACATTTTGGAGCTGTGCTAGGCCTCGAGCATGGGAGCCACGACATTCCAAACAGCCATGCAGAATCAAGATACTGGAAATTGTGGAATTCAAATTGTGGGCTTCCAGACACAACATTCTGCTGCAGACTGCTGTTTGGAGGGGCTACACCACCCCCTCCGCTTCTCTGAGTCGTTTGCGCATTTCCTGAAGACGTGGTTTTCATTCCAGCGTACAAGGACTCAGACCAGACTAGGAAGCGGGAAGGCTGGACAACGAGCATAGTGCATGCCGCCTGCCCTCTATATATATGTATATATACATAGAGGGCACCCACGCCAAGGCGGCAGATGCGCAAAGTCCCACACCGTTTACCCTCGCAGCAAACAAAAGTGTCGAGCGTTCGGATGCTCCTTGACCTTGAGCTGTCAGGAAAACAGCTCTCTCACAGTAAATCTTGAAGCCAGGATTGGTTCGGGCACGACCCAGATTTCTCACCATGTTGGATGACACACTCAGGATCGTCACAGGGAAGACGTTGTTACGTTCACGTTCACAGACAGAAGTAGATGGAAGGGGTGTGAGGGCGGCTGAGCTTCCCACATTTGCAGCTTTCATGTGCTTAAGAATGGTAGGAACACAAGTTTAGCATTTAAAGGTTTAAGCTTAAAGCTTATCAGGGTGTGGGATTGGGCTGTGGAGACAGCAATGACATGATTCGGCAGCATATTATGAAAGGTTTATGTACTGTCCAGTGCTCTGGTGGCAGTCACTGGTAGTCTTGAGAAAATGCTTGCTCGCAGCCGTTGGTGGCAGCACCCTCCCTTTTGCAATTTCGCATTTGCCGAGCTGGAAGGTTCTTCTGTGCATAAATTTCCTTGTCGTCTGCAATGACATGTTGTTTCATTAGTTCTGTGCATCCTTATCACAAGGCCTGCTGATCTTCATCAATTTTATCTGTATCTCTCTCAAGTTGAAGTTCATCCTCTTGGGGAGCGACATGCCTACTGCTCGGGGCAAATACGCACCGATGCGGTAAGCGTCAAACTCAGCCGAAACTCCACTGAGTTCAACGCTCCACTAACCTCCACAGGCGAAGGGCTCTACAGTACCCGACAAACCCTGCAGACCCCCCCCCCCGCCAGGATCTGCGAACTTTGGTGGTAGGGCTCTGGGGTGAACCCCAGTCCTGGGGTTTTCAGATTTGCCCACGATCCCCCGAAACCCGTCGAGCCCGTCCAACAGGGCAACCAAACAGAATAGCAAAACAACGCGTTACCCTTGTAGACAAGAATCCAAGGCACCTGAACCCATTCAAAACCCCGTGTGCGGCGCAAAGAAGTGTCTACGAAAGCTCGTCTGCTATGGCCTTGCGGATGTCCTCCCAGGGCTCTGCTTGTTCACGAAGTCGCTTCTCCACTTCGATAGCGTGCGGCGCGCGCAGCCTCAGAGTCCCAGGCAGGATTTATGCTGCAGAACAATCAGTCCCATGACACCATGCATGCGCAAATTCAGGCGCGCACACAGTAGTGTCATGGGATCCGTTCCACGCGACAACTTCATCGGCTGCCACCTTGCTGTACTCGACACGCACGTTTGCCCTGTGGCTCGGCTGATTATGACGCACAAGGAACCGCAGGAACTGCTTGCTACAGCAACTCTGCCGGACGCTTTCGAAGCCATCCAGCTCGGGGCAATTAGGGTGAACAACAAGCACTCTTGTATCTTATAGACAGAGTGCTGTTCACACTCCTGCACAGAAGCGGTGTTGGGGAATTGCTTGCATTTGCCTGAGAAACAGTCCTGACAGAGGCTGCATTGGCTGAGCCATGCGCTGCTGATTCTTGAAGTACTTCTTCAACCTGAGAGACGGTTTTGCAGTTGCCTTGCGCCCTACGCCCCACCTACAGTAAGTAACTCCGTGCTGCGCATGCAGCTTGCACAACGCCCGCAAGCATTCACACCTGCCCTTTTGAAGCCTTTTCATCTTGTAAAGTGAGGAGCAGAAAGGATGTCACCTTCTGTTACAACGTGATGTTCATACAAGCAGAGTTATCTCGCGGCGAGAATATGCATCTGCCCATGTAGACACTGTAGACGCTGCATCAGGAGCAATGAGCGTGAATAGCCGAAATCTACGTAGCGGAATAGACGCCACCCTGCATCAGAAAATCCCAGAGTAGACGCTGGATTTCAAAGACCCACCACGAAGGTCAGACCTGGTTGAAACCCTCAACAGCCTCAAAACCCTGCTGAGGGACTTGTCCGAAACCGCAGAGCTGAAAGCGCGTCCGAAACGACCAGCAGCGATGCCCGAACGATATTCAGCATGATACCTGATACCTCCAACCCGTTGATCCCAACAGATCCTGATCCCAACTCCCATGAGGCACTGCTACCTACTGCCGTCTGCGTGTCGTCTTGGATGTCCCCGCAGAAAATGTACTAGGGCTGCCCCAAGCAGTAGAGCCCCAACAATGCATAAAAACAAGCCGATCAAAGAGAAATCTATGTGTACCTGCTGCCAACAGTGACAAGCTCAGGGACTGGCCGAGTCCAGCCAAGATTGCGCCAACGGCCCCAACTCTTGCTCCTCACACGCCGCCTAGCTGGCAGGCAGACGCAACACACCAGAACGGTGAAGCAAGAGCTCGAGCCTGGCGCTGCATGGGCTGGAAGCAGTGCTTACCTCGAAGACTGAGCTGGTCATGTCTTCAGGCTTTTCTACATACAGGGACTGGTGTAAGAGGCATACGGCTTGCATCTGAAAAGCCAGTGAATTTACAAGGCAATTGGCATGACACGGTGTTCGACGAATAGCATTAAGGCTCCCAAATGTCGCATCTGCCGTTCGTGGCGGCCTGGCTTAGGACAGGAGTTCAGATCATTTGCTACCGCTGCGGCTTGGAGCCTCCCAGTGGTCTTAGGTACCAAACCCGCTTCACAGCAGCTAGTTGCGCTTGCCAAGTTGCAGTAGAAGGGTGACTCGTCCCGAATCACGCCACCCTTAGAGGAACTGCGGTACCACGTTGTCATCTAGCTGTCTTGGGTCATTGAATGTCATTGTGTACGTTTTTCAAGCAGAATGCCTGGCTTTGGTACCGCGTCTCCGCTTCCGCCATGATGGACTCGAAGGTCTGCAGTCACAACCCCTCTTCAGATTTCTACTGATTTCCTTGGATCTGTTGAGAAACCCATGCAGCAGTAGACTCGCGATCTTCATCACCACAATCGACGTGAACATGGAACAGCGCTAAGACAGCCGCCTTACGGGTAAGACTTGCAGGTGAGCCGAGCAGTCTTTGCTGCCATGGATATGAAAAAGCTCCATTGACAGAAGCAAACGAGAGAGCCTGTGTCAGGATGGAAAACCAAGCGCACGTTTCGGGATGTGTAGGCCATATTGCAGCATGAGAATCATGATCTCTAATGAATGGTGGGGTCCATATTCTCAGCCCCGCCTTCGACAGTGCAAGACGATTTGTCGGAAGCTCCTGCAAGCTATCCGCACTGACACGTTTCTGTGGAGAAACAGATGACTTACCCGCCACCAAGCTGACACTTAGGCGGCGAATTGCCTCCAGGCGCATTGCAGTCGTCACTGCTTGACTGGGCTGCCTCAGAATGCACCACACTTCCTCTTCCACTGTAGGGTTTCGTTTGAGCAGTTGCGCGGGCTCCTTCATAAGCTTGTTCACAAAAGCATCTTCATGGGCCGCTGAAAGCACCCGCACACTGGGGACTAAGTTGCTGATTAAGACTAATTACTTCAAATGTCGCTCGTTCATCTTTGGGCCACCTTGCCTCCTCCTCTCTTTGTGAAACGCCTTGCAGCAGCTGAAAAGGTGCCCCGGCTTGTACAACAAACAAACCGTGCTGAAAGAAGGGCCGCGTAGGTGGCGCGAGCCTAGCGGCTTGAGACGCATCCTGGAGGGATAGTCTTCCTTTAGCGTCTTAAGACCAGAAACGATCCCAGTCCGGGCTGCAAGTCTGATGCAGGGTGTGAAAAGCCTGGGATGTTCAGTACCATGATATTCTGGCAGCGGGTTTTGAAGCAAAAGAAATATTAGCAGTCGTTTTCGTAGAAGCGAGCTGCAATGTGCAGGTCCAGCCTGACTAGAAAGGGAAGCACCCCTCTGTACGCCATAGTCATCGGCTGCTGCTGCTGCTGCTGCTCAGTAGCACTGATCGCAGGAAGCTTGCACTCAAGGCGAAGCAGCTGAGGCTGCAGCTCCGAGATAGACTGGTCAAGCGCGTGACGACGAATGCCAATCCTGGGCAGGAGTCTGGACATGTTTGAGCGAAGGGGCGCTTGCGCGCGTGTATAGACAGCCCAGTAAACAGCCCTCTACGCCTTCAATTACCCACGATCACTAAGGCGAGATACCAGGACTTACTAGAGGCCTTTTGCATTGCTTTTGGTGAGTCTGGTAGATCTGCTCCACGTGAATCGCAGCTTTGCACAGCATCGGCGGAGCTGGGAAGTGCATCCCTGCGCCATCGACGCTTCTTTACTTGCTGACACCTGCGTCGAATCCTTGTAGCAGGGTTTGCATCAAAACTTGCATGGCCACGCTGCCGCTGTACATGGCAACATGACAGTGGCCTGAATTTGCAAGCTGTGGCCATGGTAGTCAAACCAGACCAATCTTTACAAGGGTGCCCAGAGCGCATCAAATGCTGTGTGAGAGCCACATGCACTCTTCCTGCTACTGCATCCATGTGCAGCGCGCTATCCAAAAGTTTCGAGCATCGCAGGCATGCTCAAGACTGGTAGAGGTTTTCTCAAATGAAAAGGGGCATGTCTTGTAAGCTTGCACCTAGTCGTCTGCCGTCGTCTCCAGACATCGTGTAGCCTTCCACCATTGGTCCCAGTGCGTCCATGAGCTCGCAGCGGCCTCAGCCCCAAAAAAACATCTGATGTAGCGGCTTGGGGTGTTGAATTCACTGGCCTTCACTGGCTACGATGCGCATCCTGACCTCGTTCCCCAATTGTTCAGTTTGTTTACTGAGGATCTTGCGCTCCAACAAGCCATCTTCGATTGATAGATGAGGCAGCTTCAGCTGCAGCGCCTTCTCTGCGCCGTCCGGACAAGATGCGACAAAATTCATGACACTTGGACAAGTAAACAGTAAGCATGTTCACAAGAAACGGGCCACGTTTACTGCGGCAAGAGCAGACAAGGCAACGCCCCAATTAACATTTCAGCATGCTATCCAGGACCATATCGGCAGATATCGGCAGTCCTTGCTCTCTTGGTCTGTGGTGGGTGTCCAGGGGATTGTCAAAGAGGTGCGAACCTGCATCAGGTTTCTCCATGACGAACTCTGCAAGCTTTCCAGCGCGTCTGGAACTTAGCCAGAAATTTCTAAGCTTCAAGCACATTTAAGCCAAGTCTCGTCGGTTGGGAGATTTGGATTGGAGGTCTTCGCAAAGTTCGTCCAGTATGCTGCCATCGTTTTGGCCAGTAGCCACTCGTCCTTCAAGACTCCAGGCTAAAGCAATTGGCCTCCCTTTACCAGCCAGCATCATCCCAGTCGACAATTGCACAGCATGCTTGAAGATATACGCAAGCCAACATGCAGCATACGAGATGTCGACTCCACAAATGCCGACATACCTTTCAAAACTGGCCTTGCCAGACAAAGGCCATCCGCCCTCGGAAGCACCTCGCGAAGCTTGCCAGCCTGCAGCGCATGCCGGCTTCTGTGCACCTGAAATCTGGCAAGCATTGCTGAGGCCAGCGCCGTCACCCCCAAGCCAGACAAAGCCAAGTTCGGCTGCATGACTGGCGCCCACCGTGCCGTCCTAGCAAAAAAACTACTCCAGGCGGCTGCTGCTCCCAGAAGAGTTCCACGGAGTCGCTGTCGCTGATGAGTTTGTCAAATCTCAAGCAATGGAAAGACACCAAAGTCCACTCTTAGGCATATTGTGAGCGCGCGACTGTGCGGCTCAAAATCTAGAGAGGCTCTAATTGTCACTTGTTATCCTGAACAAGAGGTCCATCTCGCCTCTCCGAAGATTCCGGCCCAGCCAGGGGCATGCGCTGCTGGCGTCTGGCAAAACTCGTACAGGAAGGTCTCCTGTACGGGCTTACTTGAGATCCGCTCCGTCATCCATCCGCCAGGATTTCCCGTTGACTCAGCCCCCATGGAAGCATCATGCCAGACAAACAGCTATGACATGCTATGACCATACCATCACCTACTGACCTGCAATATTCCAAGAAACCCTGACTAAGGATGCCCAGCTAGATACGGCAGCCATGCAGAACTCCTTCCTGCTCGCCTTGGAGATTTGGCGTGCTGCCCGCAACGATGGGCAAGCAATAGCATAATCTCCGTAAACTGCTGTTGCGATCCAGTACCAGTCTTCTGACGACCTGTTGCCTGCATAGACAGCAAGGACGTCCCTGACTTTATCGTGGCTGATGTTGAACATGTCCGTGGTCAACAGAGAAACGAAATCCGCTTCCGTCATGTTGGAACCTCAAGCGCAGTGGTGGCAAGCAGTTGACACTAACTCGACATGGCTCTATAGTGCTATGAGAGCTTCCACAAACAACTCTTCTGCAAGCCCAGCAACCCTTGTGCAAGATGTCGCATTTTGGAGTGTCTTCACAGCTTGCCAGGACAGTGCCCTCATTGCTGTTGAAACCGAGCAAAACGGCAGCGTCTCGATTGAAGGCACCTGGGTCAAAGCCATCCTCACTCTCGGGAGCCAGAAGCCTAGGTGCAAACCTTCTCACGGAGACAAGCCACCTGCAGAGAGAAGTTGCCAAGGCAGGGCTGTGAGTTGCACGTTGTCGACGGTGGGACTGAAGAAAGTTCCATAAGCCTGAACCAAAAACACGAGGTGACTACGCCAGAAGAGCATGTTTGAGCTGATGGATGACTCTTGCTTTGGTTTGGCTTGGGGGAGTCGAGAGTGGCGCAGCCTAAATGAGAAATTTCTCTGATTCTTGCTGTGCTCCTACACTTCTGAATCACTCGTCACTGCAGCCATTACCTGGAATCCCTGCATGTGCTTGAGACAGTCTTCCCCAGGCCTTCCATCCTTCAGGGAGAGGCTCCGGATTCAGTTCGACAGTCGCCAAGCCCGTGAGCTCATCAGCCTCCTTGCCCATCAAGCATGGGACTGGAGACTCTCCCGGCGCCGTGGTGTTCCCACAGCCAGAGGCGGAGACGAGGTCAGAGAACTGGCGCTCTGCATCCTAAGGAGAGCGACAACCGAAGACAGAAACGCTGCTGCAGAGCTTTCAAATTTCCAATCAAGTCAGTGCGTCGGACATGGGCTGCGCATTCCAGTAGCTGAAGGCTCCAGACTCCATGATGACGCTGTGGTACAGTGGCCTCATTTCAGAAAAACCCTAAATCATGAAGGGCCATGAACTGCCATTGTGCCATCCTATCTGGGGGGCAACATGGTTTTCAGAAACCTTCTATCCCAGTCGCCAACTGTGGGGCGAGGTGAGATGCACCGCGATCGACCCTGCGCCAGCACTTTCACCAAAGAGCACGACCTGTTGCAGCACGAGGTAAGATTCGTGCAGATACCCAGCACACCATGCTGAAAGCTCAACGAGCACAGGCTCAAGCTGACTGTGGCAGAATTGCATGAATGTCTTAGTTCAGCTTGCGCACAGTTCAATCCCTGGGACCAAAAGCCAACTAGTGTTGTCCCTGGGTTGACGACCGGTGCGAAGAACGTTTCCATAATCTTTTGCACGTCATAGGAGTATTCGGCACACTTGTTCTCTCCAGAAACTTGCGCCCGCGCGGGGGAGACGAAAGGCTTAGAAGCAGGGGTGCATACTGGCGCGTGCAGTTGTTCATGAAGAGGCGGAGCGTGAACGGCCTCCCCGTGCCCAAGAACGGCTTCCAACATGCCTAATTAAAACTGCCATCTGCCATCCCAAACGGCCTCCACGGCACCCGAAACGGCACCCCGAAACCGCATCAAAACAGACCCCTCATCATGCCTATTTTCGAGGCCCACGGGGTGGCCTCCCGAAAACCTTCCTGCGGTGGGGTCTGGCCCCGAAACACGGCCAGAGTTGACCATTTTTGGGCCTTTCCCCTCCTCCACACCCCCTTAGTACAGATTAGCAAAGCTGGACTCGGACGAAAGCTTGGGAAGCTTTCGTAACATCTCTTTGGACTCTTTGGAGACTACACATTTTTATGACGCCAATTGTGATGTCCAGTTTTTTATGCGACATTCGGAAGGGAAATCCTGTGAGAAGAGCCTAAACGTCGCAAGGGGAATAAGGCTCAACACCTCCTGGCAAGACCAGAATTCATCTTGAAAAAGAAAGCCTGCTTGCACTCCAATATCTACTTTATTTGGGTAGAAGTCCATGTAGCAGAAGCGCCTGTTTCTTGCGCTCATGGTACAAGCAAATGCTTAGCAGCCTTCAGGAGCAGAAACGTTTTCCGAAATCACGTGGCTTGGTCGACGGCCGAGATATCGTCAGACTCCAAATATCTGATCTAGACATTTTGGTTCGCAGACTTTTTGTACAAGCTCGAGGCATTTGTTTCAAATAGATCACTAGACCTTGAGTTTTGGGCTGCCGGACTTTTGCCAACGAGCATCACCTTGTACAGCTTCCCTTTGCCTTGCCGACCGGTCTAGGGTCCCCTAGCCAACAAATCCTCCAAGAAGTCGAATTCGACTTTGACTACCAGTATGTGCTTAGCTTATGGCATGAAAGTAGCTTTGGTTCGGGCAGCTCGGGCTCCTCACAGAAGGCACGACAATCATGAAAAAACAGTGGGCACGTCTGTGACAAGGGGATGCCTTCAGCGCGGAGATGGCCCGCTGGAGGAATGTCGGGGGCTGGCAGCTCCAGCCGCCAGCAGCTCACGTATACATATGTTTCGAAGTAAGACGTTAGGCTAAGGTAATTTACATGTCGAGAACCAAATTTCACGCAGTAGCCGTCATGATCAAGACAGCTGCCACCACGGTCCAAGAATGAACGACCAACTTTCAGCCAGCATCTCATTTCAGATGTTTAGGGCAGCAATTCTATATCTGTTCTTTGCATGCATCATCTGTTGTTGCCTTGGTAGGGTACACATGACCAACAGTAGCAAGGAGGTGAATGGGAAGAATGCGAAAGACACAGCAGACAACACCGGAAAGAGAATCAAAGCAAGCCACAGCAAGCGCAAGCAATGTGCAGTGCGATATCAGGAAAGCAAACCAAACCAAGACACAGGCAAACAATGCCTGCAATGCGACTATGCAGATCAGTTAGAAATAAGAACTCAGCATTAAAGACAGAGCAGGTTGGACAAGCCTCCGTTTCCTGTGGCCTGCGTCAGGCTCGGCAAATAGTCCTGGCAGCTGCCTTTGACAGCAAATTCAATACTTCCCGACCGCCGAGACATGCTGATGCGAAATTCATAAGGGGAAAGCAACAAAATCACATGGACAATGCGCCCCATGCATGATATATGCATGGCCTTGTTCGGATCTCCACCGAAAGCTGCGATGTTTCCTGAGATGCTGCTGCGACCGTGGCCAGCACGGCAGCTTTGCAAGACTTACAAACAAGACATGGCGCTCTGCAGCCACTGCAATGCCGCCCGCTGGTCCTGGACGACATTGCACGACAGAAAACAGCAGCGCAACTAAAATCCCATCAACGCTTCCACGGCACATTTCAATGAGTAGCTGGCTGGACGTGACTGACTGGGGACAACTGACTGGTCTGGGTTTCAACTATCTGCACTCTTTCATAAACCCATGGAGCTGTCAAAATGCATTGTCAAGCGGTTTGGGCTGCAGCGTGCAGCACTAATGGCAGAACCCAAGACATTGTCAACGATTAAGTCCAGGCAAGCCAACTACTGCAAAGAGCCGATAGAAGATTCGTTCTGAATGCTCTGAGAATGCACCTCAAACAAATATGGCGTTTTCGATGAACAAGCCGTGACCAATCATCCAAATTCAAGAAGGTGCGAAGCCCTTTCCATGTGCCTGGTTGGCACCAGCTGGATGCTTGACTTAACTCTCACAGCGCTACTGGCATCAGAATCTGAAGAGGTTGCTTTTGGAGGACCCGTCGACCTTTCAAGATCTTCTCACTTTGTGCTGTTTCCAATCAGCAGTAGCCTGTGAAAGGCTTTAGCTGCGGTGCACGCTACGCATCCCTACCCAATGCTGAATGGAAGAGACGTTGTGGTGGTTGTAGTAAGTGGTGGCGGTGACGGCGGTGGTGGCGGTGGCGGTGGCGCTGCAGAAGGAAAGGGGTAGGTAGCGCAGTAGTGACTTTGAACGTAGTTGTCGTTGTCGAAGAAGGCACAGAAGTAGTACAGTAGTGCTGACGCTGGTGGCAGTGGCGGCGGTCGTGGTGCTGGAAGCAGTACAATTTAACTTGTAACAGTACGGGAAAATCCTGGACTCTGAGAGCTTGTCCTGGGATCAGTCAGCGGCATCAACTTCTCAACGAAAGGATGATAATCCCACAGCCACAAGAAACTAAGGTAGGCTCATGAGAGAAATATGGGGCCTCAACTAGCATCAGCTCAGACAAAGCCACAGCCCAGCAGACACTAGGAACAGCTAGGCCAAATCAGTCTTCACAAAACTGAACATTCCCGATATGTCTCCTGCAAGCCATAGTTTCCAGTAGAATTCCTGGGATCGCGCGAGCGGAGGAGCTCCGAGCCAGCAAAGCCTGGAGGCAGCTGAAAATATTTGGACATTCTGCTCTAAGCAGCACATTTGCAAAGCTGCTAAAGATGCCTAGAATTCCGAGACGATAGTTGGTGGTCACGACAATCAGATCCCGGGCGAACGTCACTAGCGAAGTTCCATTGAACATGTCCTCTTGAACAGTCAGCGTCTACTCGAACACGAGATCTTCAAGCTGCAGGATGCTACAGCTACTTGATTCTATGCATCAGTCTTAGTCTGCAGAAGCTGCAACAGCAAGGATCACACTCGATCCCCCTATCACTGCTGCAAAGCATACTGCGCACCAAACTCTGGGCGGTACTTGCAATCCGTTTAGATCTACAGCACACATCTTGAATGATGTCCTTTGTGCCGCCAGTCACATAGGACCCCCCATGGATCCAAAACATCACCTGGCTCCAAGCTGATGTTCGGGGCGGATTGCATGAAGCGCAAACTCTAAAAATCGCAGGCCAAGAGGCTGTACATGAGCTGCACTTTTGAGCCGGTGTCCACACGTTCAAGAAGAGGCAGGATTCCGAGCCGATGATTTGCCGCCCCTTCACCTTCAAGGCACCAACCCCTTAGGAAGTCACCTGCACCACCAATCGCTGCATGCTGCGCCTGCATGCAGTTCTCGCCAAACTCTGTTGCCGATCTTTCCTCTGTCCTCAGCTGATTACGCTACTGCTGCAGATTCTAATGCCCTCTGTCTGCTCAGAACTGGCAGCAGGCATTTGTCACTCTTGAAGACACCAAGTGCTGAAGTTTTAAAGAGCCGACAATGTAAACCTGTCAGGCAGGCATCCAGGGAACAACAGGCTGCGGAGGTCTCCATCGCAAGCGGCCCACAGGTGGGGCTGCATAAGGAATTCCTGAGCACGCCCTAAACCAGCGTTGCAATGCTGGACTCCTCTTCGCAGTCCATCTTCGCTGCATGCAGCCGGGCCAGGGGTTGCCGAGAATCCCAAATACTCGCAAGAACTTGCGCCGCAGCGACCTCGAATCGGTCCCTCCGCTGTCATTGCCAGACCATGATGTGTTGAGCTGCCTGGATGAATGCCGGTAGACAGAACATGTCAAGTGTTGGTATCTAACATCAGGTCATCGCCGCTCGAGCCTGTGACGCCGGAAATCACGAGGAAGAGCTGCAAAAGCTGTCCAAACCAGGCCCCGAATGGCAGCACCATGGCGCCGCAGGTATGTTGCAAGCGAATGTGGCAATTTCCAAAAAGATCATGCAGCCGCTGCTATTTGATGGGTCAACTCTAACCGACATTTCTGGCTGCTCGTCTGAAGTCACATTCAGAAGCCTGCCCACAGCATACCACTTTGAAAACTCCCAAAGTGATGCTGACTGCCCCAGCACTGCAGCAGGAAGGACTTGCAATGCTTCTCGGCCAAGGCCGGCAAGGCGTGCTAGCTTTGGCCTATACTGAAACAGCCCTTGCCGTTCCAGAGACTCAGTCTAATTTACTGAGGCGCTGAGGTTCTCGCTGCCTGTGTTCCCTAAACGAATTCCGAATTTGAACGCCACTGCAGGCCGCACAACACATCGCAGCCATGAGTGGGTGGTTGACATGTCTAGTTTATGGTTATGGTTATGGTTCTAGCATGCATCCTCACTGCGAATGCTGAACTCAAGCATCCACATCCCTGAGACGTGGGCTGGACGGAGACTGGCTGCTGATCAGGTAGACACCGTGATGTCCATTCCACTCGGACGAACAGATTATCATCCTGTCCCGGGTTACACCAGATGGATCGAGGCATTGAAAGGTCGCTGTTGATTCCGCGGCATGTTTGGCTTTATGGATTTGATATTCCTTGACTTGGAAGCACTCTGCTTGATAACAGCCACGAGCAACCGCATCAGTGCCTCAGGGAAAGTCAACCCCGGAGCAAACATCCAAACGTTTCAATAGCATTTCAACGCATGGCTAGGTAGAAGCCTTGAAGCCCTTTGAAGCGGGAGGCTACATTTGGAGGCAGTCCAGAAGCAAACCCTTTCCAGATGAATTCAGGTACCGCAACCGTTCCCACGCGGCCTTGCCCTCCACAAGTTGGATTGAGGGCCCTTTGGCTTGCTGAACAGTCAGAGGAGGCACCTGCAGACGTACAGCAGGTACCGGTTCTTGGCATGCTTCAGAATGCAGTGTGCTGAGACGCGAGCTGCAAAGAAGGGGATGCTGGCTGCTGACACGTCATTCATGACCACGTTACGAGTGCGTCTGGGCAATGCATCTGCATGAAAACACATGCGAAAATCACAACTCATTCATCGGAAGGGAAATACGTTGAATGCTCGGATGCGAAGATGGCAGTCTTTGCGGCTCTCAGAGCTCATGCCCCTCATCCTGCTGAGACGCTACACGGATCTACACTGCATAGCAGGGCTGCCATCGCTGGCGCAAATGAGATTGCGGCATCTCAGCGCGCAGGAAAGGCAAATTGTAAATCAAGCGGCAGGGTCCATGCCTCAGTCTTTTGGACTAGTTTGGCTGTCCTTTTAGGCTTTCACGCTCCCTAACCAACATATTTCATCTACTGCGGAAGCCAATTTCAGCTTGAAGCATGGTGATTAGCATCGAGGTCGCGACTCCACGGGCTGGCAAAAGACTGAGTTCTCCAAGGGAATCTGCCGGTAGTCCTGATGGGTAAACTTGTGCAGCTGTGGCATGTTCGTTTGATGTTGTTCGATGAGTCCACATGCGCGGACTGAGTATAGCAGGGCATGAAGGCAGTCTGTTCTCTGAAATATGTTTTCCCAGAGATCGTGGATTGAGGGCTTGCGATTTTGGCGGTGAGGCCTGCAGCATGGCCTCGCACAGGTGAGTGTGTCCGCAAGTGCCCGGAAAGCTCTCGCATCGTGTGCAGGTAGCATGCCTAGAGGAATTGGTGCATTGTGAACAGTCATCGGGCTGCAGCAGGTCAACCCTGCAATCCCCTTTGCTGTTGTCACTGTTGGACGCTCGAACTTGTTCTGTGATCTCAAAGCCGAATTAAGAGTCACAGGGATGGGAGCTGGTTGGAGTCGCGATCCTTGCAAGTGCTGAAGCTCTGAGACCCTCGGATCCTCCTCGCATAACCAAAAACGCGATGGGATTTGTCAGGCGTGGCAAGCATCAGGGCCATGATCCTTGTGGTTGTTGTCGCCTTGGGACCCTCGAAACCTCTTACCTTCCGAAAGTGTCAGCAATCATAGGGATCCAGCCAGGTGGTTTCATGTTCCGAGTATCTGCAACTGTGCTTGCTCTTGGACCCTCAGATCCTGTTCACGTTCCTGTACATCGTTTCCTCGTTTGGCGAGCCGTGCGTCGTGCCATGCCTTCGCATCATGTCTGGTGTCTTGGCTGTGTTTGTGCTTTTGCTCCCTTGTTCGTGTCGAGGTGAAGAACACCAGAGCATGCTTTTTGGATCGCGCGCTTAAGGCCCTTTAGGCCAAGGAACAAAGTCTTGGACTTTGTCCAGCTGCATGCCCGTCAAGGAAGAAGAGACTGACACTGTATGGTCTTGCCTTTCCTCTGTTTATTGAGTGTTTACTGATTACTGGCATAGCTGGCTCTTCACAGTCCTAGCTTGTTTGGTTGACTTGGCACGGGTATGTGGAGATGGCGGCAGAATCCTGAAGTCCTGGAATAACTGTGCCAGCAACATGCGTCTTCAGGGGAAGTCAACACACTTCTTTTGCTCATCTAAGCGAGGGCTGGGAAGTGGGGTGGGCAGCTCCTGTCGCTCCTGTTTGCAGCATTCCCGACTTCATTGCAAGAACAATCGAAGCGTCCTGTTCATAGTGAATCTATGTTCTGGGTTGGCATGCGAATCTGGTGCAACCCCATAGTTCCCAAGTTTACGTTGACATCTTGCGGTGCTTAAAGCTCTGCAGGTATTGTTCACAGTTCAGCCCTGTTATACCTTCGCGAAGTTTGGCTTGGCTTGATTTCGCACTGGGTTGGGGGGGCGCCCAACAGATCTGCGAGTGCATCGTTCGCACTGCGGTGAGTCAGATGTCAGCATGCTGGGTCTTGCTCGCCTTGGCATTGTCGACTGCTATTCGAAAATAAGGGCTCTTGCTTGGCTGGCTCTTCCGTATAACTGGCCAATTGCTGTACTACTACTTTCTGCTATTGATACCCGAGACTATGATGCCTTTGCTCCTTTAGGACCAAGGCTGGGGGGCTGAGTGGATTGCGCAGTGGCTTGGGAGAGGGGCAATCGCCATCCACGCACTTTATGGGTCAGATCTGAGATCTGATAGGTCTGATCCATTGGGCATTGGCTGCACGGGAGTTTCTGATGCCGCGCTCATTTTCTTACTTTGGGCGTGCCGAACAGGGCGTAGAAAAAAGCAGAGCAAGTCCCCTAAAGCAGCCCTCCCTGCCTCATCAGTCCCGCCGGCAGGCCTGCAGTCGATCACCACGCTGTGATCCTGTTCACTGACGTAAGAGTAAGGAGCTTCTTAATTGTCTCTGATACAGGGGCACCGAAGCAAGCAGCAACACAGCAGACCTTGTCTGCGTCGTTCTTGTTTGTCTTCGCAAACATTTCACATTTCAGCAGGATGCAGGGCCTCACATGTAGGCTTCTAAAATGTGTCAGCATTTGCTATCCCAATGTAGCAATTAGGCCCTTTTCTCAGGCTCCAAGTAAGGTTGCGACGTGTGGAGAAACCGGCCAAATCGAGCTTCCGGAATCGGGACCTGTAGTCACAACTGGACGTGACATGCGCAAAAAGCAGAAAAGCAAACTCCTAAGGTTCCAGCCAGTTCGGGGACGAGCATAGGCGGGCGGCGTAGTGGCGTCAGCAAAGGCGGACTATGGACAGGGTCCTGGCATCAGCTTCTAGTCTGGAAGAACCACCTTCTGCTTGTTGCCAGCAACGGAGCATCTACATTCACACTTGACTCTCCACGATTCACGTCCGGGCAGCTTTCGTTCTAGACGTGCCATTGAGGCTCAATTCAACTTCTCTGATCTCTGAGAGCCGGGCACTCCACCGAAGGGGATGTGTGGGATCCAACCTTGGGTTGCAACATCTTTGTCTCGTTCTCTGTTCACGGTCTGTCCACAATCGGTGTTGGCTGTGTCTCTCGGAAAGCCCGATGTCTTCAAGGAACCTCAACACAGCTTGCTGTGGTCCGCGATGTCTGTTTATCACCATAATATGACTGTGAGCCGCATTGGGCCAAATCTGCTGCGTGTCTCGCCAGAGATGAAAAATTGTATGTTCAAATGCGCTGCGCATCCAAATGCCAGGAAGTATTGTGGACAAACAACTTTGAGGATTCCATTCGACCATTTACGAATCGCCTTACGTGAAAAACAACACATGCCCAGGAGCGCAGTAAGGTGAATTCCTGCTTTCTGCAATGGATCCAAAGACTTGTTTGCTCTTCCTGCCCGAGATGCAGGATTTTCCGCGGGACCGGGGCTCACTGCCGAGCTTCACTCAGCTCTGAAAAAGCCGGACATTAGAAATTACTTAAATTTTGAGGTCTCGTGGCCTCGGCACTAAACGCCAAAGTTCAGGACCTCCGACTTGACCAGCACGGTCCTCAGATGGCATCCAAATTTACCAGCGTTTCAGGCGGCTTGTCCCCGAAGAAGGGGAAGATTCAGCCTATGCCACCCAGTCGTAAACAAACCCTAAACCTTGAATCCTGAACCCTAAGCCTCAAGCCCCAAACACTCTTCGGCATGGGGCCAGATGGGAAGGAGCAGTTAGCCGCCCCCTTGCGCCCCATGCATGCCTACTTCTCCAAAAGTTGTTATAGCGCAAATTGGCTTAATGAAGCAACGAGCAAAGATGCCCTGCTGGGTCTCCGTAGTATTCGGCAGTGAAAATCGGCGAAACACTAGCAGGAGGAGCAGAGCAGCAATTGCGGCAACACCCGCAGAAGCGATGATTGCGGATGTACCAGTAGCTGTACACATGAAATAGCACCAGCAGCAGCAGCAGCTGCAAATGATCTGGATTAACGACCTGGTAAAATTTGTTGATGGTCCTCACAAAGCAACACAAAGCAAAATTTCACATCTTAGTTTCATCTCCATGCATGGTCTTCGTGAAGAAAGGAAAGCTGATATCAAACATTTGGCCAATTCACGCGCACAAAGGAAAGAAAACGCAAAAGCGAAAAGGGGTTTGGGAATAGCCGGCTAGGAGCTTATTCAGTTGGGCTGTAGAGGAGAAACATTGAGAAACGTCTTGGTCGCAAAGTCAACCTCCTCATTGATTTCACACAGAAAGGACCAGCCTAATTTCAATGTTTCCCCCTTCTTGTCCGTCAGTTCTTGGTTGTCCTAAAAGGAAAGCGAAGCAGCCCCTTCCGACCATTGTCTTCAGAAAGCACATATCAGGTGTCTGCGGAATTCATTTGTGAGCTTTGAAGATTCTAACCTTCTCAACTCCCAACATGCTACGCTTTCAGCTGTGAAGAACGGGCTTATGATCTGGTCGTTTCACATAGGAGTCACAGGGTGCCGGGTTGATTGAAGGGAACCGTTTGGGACTCTAACTTTGCTAGACATCATTGTCTTTGCTGCCTTGGGACTTTGTCTTTTAACCTTGGACAATCACCGGCATTTACAAAGGTGCTGTAGACGTTGAACCCTGGCCACTATGCCCCACCAAACGTCCAACGAGCAAAAAAAAAAAAAAAAAGGACAATTGTGTCTGGCGTCAGTATCAGCAGCTGCAGCAATAAGAAATCCTTGCCCGCCCCCCAGGTTGCCTGGCCGCACAACACACACGCAAACATTGCCCAAGATGAAGAACAGCATGTGAGCATGCGCAAATTCGTGTAGTTATACAGATATGCATACAGTATACACATCATATATTCTCGATAAAAATAGGACTCGTTCATCAACAATGTTGGATGATCCATGACGGCAGTCAGTCTGCAGACGAGCTGCAAATCCCCGGAACCCACCTTGGCTGGTGAGGCTGCTTGACAGTTATAAGCTGGACTCAAGCAAGTTCCAGGCGCTTGCTGTTCTCACGTTGACATGTCTGCAAGTCTTCACATCGTCTGCTGGCCTTTCTGGCTTGACCTCTCTGCGACGTATACACTTCTTTATTGTGGTTCAAAATCTTCGAAGTAGTGAGTCCGAGCCGCATGAAACTAATCTGCGCAAGGAAGACAAAAACGTTGTGTGTGTTAGCTGGTTTACTGTTGCTGCCTGAAGGCGCTCGACTACAAAGATCTCATGCTGTCTCGGTAAATTGGAAAAGAGATCTTTGACCGATTTGACACCAACTAAGTGAAATTAAGATAAAGTGGCCAACGCCCTGACGGCAGCGGCCAGCGATTCAGTGGCCCGCCCTGGCAAGAAGCTTGCACACCCTGCCACCGCTGCAGCATCTAAAGCACATGCTTGCCTTGGGACGCTCTGAGTCAAAGACGACGACCTCGGCCATACCCTCAGTATTGGTGTTCCTCAGATCAAGCATGTGCGGCTGGCATGAGCAACTCGACAGCACATGAATCCACAACTTTCTGTTCTTTGCGACTCTCCCTTGCTGCTCAGAATCAACAGCCAGATGTATCCGGTGCTGGGATCATGATACACGCCAATGACGGTCTGGGCTGAGGCCTTGGTGGTTCCTGTGTGAGAGTCGACAACTTCAACGACTTCCTGGCCGGAATGAGGTTCACAAAATGGCGCAAGGACCATGATGTGCCGTGCACTGCATCTTTAATCACGATTTGTCACTCAACCTCTCCCAGATTTGCGCATGATACACAGCTCAAGACTTTGAGCAAGACATAATTATTCTGGCTAGTGCGCCATTGCGCATCTGACTGAATGCGCTGGGCTGCTGTGATGCTCCGCAGCAAGTTTTTGCAGGTTTGATCCTAACGGATCACGCTGTCACAATCTCTTCTTGAGGGCTCTAGAATGCACAGGTCGCCCTGTGTCAAGCGTCCCTGTCCTGCGAAGGGCGGCGACTTCTTAGCGAGATAACCATATGTAGTGGATGTAGCTCATTCCGATGTGTGGGGCACAAGGTGACGACCTGCCGGAATTGGGAGTCAAAGCAGCCATGGGCTCACGGTGCATACGTAGGCATACCTTTAGTACATAGCCAAACAAGACAAGGTTTCCAGAACACACGTTTGCGGCATGGTCTTGGCTGGCCTGTCCAGAGTCCGTTGCTGCGTAAACAAGCCAGCCAGCATTCATAAAGCCTGAACCGTCTCTGGCGCATTGAAGAGTCTCCTGCCCCTCCACCGGTTGGATAGTCTCAAGCCGCTTGTGCGGCAATGTCGGGCTCAGCTTCCATGTCTTCACATACCTGTGGCCGTGCAAGGAATACTCGGTGATCTCAGTCCCGCCTTGATTTAACAGAAGCAGCTTGTTCTTGCCAGGAAGAAAGCCAAAGCTTTTGAAGGCAAAGTCAATCTCAGTTGTTGGCACTGCCATTTCCAGCGTGATTGTTTTCAGGCTGATTCTCTCATGAGTGTGGTTGCGGCTAGCTTCCTCCTCCATCCGTTCCACCGCGGACTCATCGGAATGTTCACCCAAAAGCTCAAGCTCTGCCTTAAAGATCGCGAATTGATCTCCCAGCATCAAATGTCGGCCGGATGCGCTGCAAGCAAGCGCGGAAGGTCGAAAGAAATCATGCGGCCAGTCTGTCTGAACGACTTGCAATGCAATGCTGTCATACATCTCTCTGGGCGCTCTGGCTGAGTCATAGTACTTCGGGTCAAAAAGCAGCACAGCAATGGTGGCAAGCCAAACTCCCATCTGAGCCTGGGTAGTTGACCCAATTGACAGTACAGAAGAGTTCAGGTCTGAACAATTCTGAACAGCACGTTTAGATTTAGCTGAGGAGCCAAACAGGATAAGCGAACGCACTTCCATGGCAGCAGGCTGCTGCTGACCTCCACGTCTGGGTTCTCCGGCATAAGCTCAAAGGGCAATGCTTCTGCTGCCAGAATGGGCTCCTGCGAGCTCCTGACAGATACTACAAAGGACTACAGGCAGACCTTTCTGCTAGCTGGCTCCTTGGTGATTGGTCGATGCGAAGCTGCAGCTCCTGCACTCTTCGCACATGTCACGGGTTCCAACAAGCGTGCAGAGTGCAGACCGGCCTCCAAGGATGTGCTGAGACGGAAGAGATCAATGATCTGACCAGCCTCTGGCACTGACCTCAAGAACGTCAACTCCATGCAAATTGTCAGTGCCAGAGATGCTGCCAAGTGGCCAAACGACCTGTCCCGATCGGCAGTCAATCCAGTAGACCTCCTCGTTGTCGCCTCGCAAACGGTTTCACGATTCCACACACTTTCACGCTTTGCACACTGAGCTGAGCTCCAGCTCGCATAGCTCGCATAGCTCGCAAGAAGCACCGAGCCTTCCAGGAACGAGCTCTGCAGCCAAGCAGGCACGGCCCTTAGCGTTACCCAGGATCTCAAGTTCTCAAAGCTTTCCAACACAAGTCATGCAGGCAATCATTGCAAAAAAGGCTCTCTTGACCTCGTCTCTCCCACCCGTCAGACTGTCGTCCAGCATGTGCAGGCATTGCCATTTGCGTTTCCAGGTCTCGCAGGTGCTCATCCAAGGTAAAGCGCAACTGCTGCAAATCTTCACTCCTTAGGCACTTGCTTAGGCACAGAAATTGACTTTGGCTTGCGTGCAACGGTCAGGATAATGACAGCTGAGGCTCTCTTCCTGGGACAGATGTGCTGACATTTCTGCTGTCACAAGCTGGGACAGGACACTCACAAGGTGTTTGGCTTCCCTATGCGTGGCCACCAAACACTTGTGGTCTGGACGCCTCTCTGCAATCTCATAAAGCATCTTCTCTGGGTTCTCCCAATGAGCGCAGTCAACGGCTGTTCGAACAGCAGCCGCGCTGAAGTGTCTGCTATGCCAACCAAACACATCCAAGTATACCGTAGATCGAAAGGACAATGGAAGGCCGGAGCTTTCCAAGCGGGGTGCCGACACTCGTAAAATCACCCACATCCAAAGCATGTGGCCTCCGCACGCCAGTATTGCCAAAGCCCAGGGCGCCCAAGCTGGCACGACTTGATCGCATGCACGCACACCGCCCCTGCCATGATTGGTTCTGGAAGCTGCAAGGTGAATTGCGAGGCCTGATAATGCTGGTGGAATTACCAGACACAGCTGCACAAGATTCCTGTACTTTGGACCACAGAAGAGGTCCAGTTTAAAAAGTGTGGTGGTGCAGAACGCACCTGCGATCAGAGACAACCAGGCTGCACCTGGATTCTGCGCTGGTATCGGCCAATTGTCCATTTTTGACATGAAGTGACCCAATGAGTAGTACGCACAGACCAACAGCATGTGCTGAGCAGCCAGTACCAATCCAATGCGGGCGTATGCATCGAAGCATGCGTATCCCCGCTGGACCCTTCGTAGCATCCAGAAGTGCGAGTGCATCACCGCACTTCGCCCAGGACCTCCATTGTCCACCGTCTGCAGATGTTGCAGAACCTCTTCACCGGCAAACGGTGCATCCGACAGCCAATCCACGGGTTCCTCCTTTTGGGATTTGGGGCGAGCACGGCCCTTTCTTTGACTTACGCCAGACCCGGTAGGCAACGTCCGCACACCGGGATCCACTGAGGAAGGCTCCGACTTCGGAATCTCGTCCTTTTCCGCCAATGCGAAGGGAATGGCAAAAGCAGGAGGCTGGAAGTAGCGACCGGCTCCGTCACTCTCAAATCGCTCCTGGGAACGCATGGCTGACTCGATGTCTTTCAGGCTTGGGACTGGTGGACGCACCGCTTGCGTGAGAATCTTCACTTTGGCGGAGCGCTGTGCAATGGATCCATGCATAGCCAGCCACACGCTAACCAACCCAAAGAAAATGCAGGCAAAAACGCAGTTGTTCCACAGCACTAGAAGCCAGCGAGGCTCTAAAGGGAATTCTGGATAGCCAACAAATATGAAGTTCATGACGGCCGTCACAATAAGCGCCCCAACTAAGATGTAGTTGTCCATGTTGGATGTTGAAAGTTGGAAGACATCCCTGACATCTTCACGAAAGAGGCCCCACTGCGCCAAGCGCATATTCTGCATCTGGTGTATGCAATCCTGCCGCTGCTCCTGACTTGAATACATGCTAGCCACCATATCAACGCATCCCTACGAGCACTTCATCAAGCTTGTTCTAAAAGAAGCTTGCATGTAGAAAGCTTACCAACCAAGGCGGCGTTCCGCATCAAACTTGAACCGTTCCAAGTTGTAGAAGTAGGCGAGGCCTGCAGCCGGGCCGATGCCTGGACAAATAAAAAGAACTCCTAGTGAAGTGGTTCACTCGCTTTCTGCAGATCGCTTTCCAGGCCTGGCGCCATCTTTGCAAGTTGGCGGCCGGCAGACGCCGGAGGGTCAGCAGCTCACGTGGCAGGGTTAAAAGCAAACCAAATGCCGCTCAGTGCTTGCTCATGCTTTCGGCATATGTCAAGTGCGTTTATGGGGCTCATGTTTTGCCGCTTCTGTTTAAGCTGTCCCCGGAGCCCAACCAGCGGCGGGATGAGATCTCGTACTACTGATCTTTATCTAGCAAGGGCTAAAGAGCTGTGCAGGGACTTCTGTCTGTCCGACTGCGCAAGGCCGAGAAGGAGGCTTCAAGCGCTGCCAGTCCGGCTCCGGCAAACCCTCCACGGCGCAGCGGACGCAAACAGAGATGCGGTGTAGGCAATGGGGCTTCAACCTCGGCATGCTCTGCACAAAAAAATCTGTGCGGAGATCCTGTCGAAGCATAGCTTTTGTTCTCTTCCCCACTTGTCAAATGTCAAGCCTTTCCTTTTGGCAGCTCCTGGTTTCTCATCTAGTTTTACAGCTAGCCAACTGCCAGCAAACGCGCGAGTGGTCCTGAATGTTCACGCTACCCGCAAGGCACAGAGCTGTAGTGAGCACAAGCTGCATCTCACTGTGCACCTGTCGTGTCTCAAGGATACGGCCCGCTGACCAGCAAGTCGAACCCGGTGACCGTAGCCGGCCTGGCAACACTTCCAGCTTGTGTCATCCGTGCATCACATGACACGAGCATAGCTTTATAGGGCAAACGGGCAGAATTCCATCTCACCAACTGCTACAGACAACTAGAAGGGCTTGGATGGAAGCGAAAAGGTGCTTGAAGGCTCGCATCTTGCGGGGCCCAGCTTTGCCCACATCTTTTCTAATGAAGCCGTACCACTTTGATCCATGCCCACAGGCTCTCAGCAACCAGACACGGAGAACCCGCTGTCATCCCCCTCGGCGCTGACGGTCCTGAGAAGGAGGCAAGCAGGTGCAGCATGGACTCCACTTAATCTTGGTGGAATGCTTGAACCATGGGCAGCAGGGCAGGACCCTACCTCAATCCTTGAAGACCTCCCTAATCCTAGCCCAGAACCACTTCACAGCCTTTGCGCAATTGAGGCCTTCAACTTTTCTGGGCAAGCATGAAACAACAATCCGAACTTGAACTGCCAGCGCCAATTTCAGTGGTTCCAAAAGCAATGTTGATTGCTTTTGCCAAGCCTTCTGTCTTTAGCACGGTCTGGATATCCATCATGCGAATCAAGCATGGCTTACAGTTACCCGCGACTGCCTCTCAGGTGCAACCTGCATCCCGGTCCGCATCCCTAAAAAAGAAATCAACCGAGCTTTCGTCACCTTTTCACTCAAGAAAGGCACGGATGTCATGAAGCGACAATGCCTATGGCCCATGCCACCTAATTCATGTGTCAGCTAAGTGCAGGTCCGCATCTCTTTCTGTCTAAACTTCCCCAGGAGCCGCTTCCTCGGTGCGTACCATCAGCATGCTTTATCCTGCCTTGGCTTGGAATCTCCTGTGCAAGTAGCCGACAGCAAATTTCCCAGCACTAGAACGTCAGGTGTTTTTCCTATGCGCGCAGACAAGGCCGCATCTGAGAAATCAGCTGGCTTCGGTCTGTGAACAGGTTCTCAAAGTCGAAGGTTGGCGTCTCAACTCCCTCCTCGGAGACATGGAAACCGAAATCCCTTGAAGCACCATGCGGTATTACCTAGGACTGTCCTCCTCATAAGGGAGCAGGCATCCGCACGATCCGTCAGCAAGGTAAACCTGGTACAAAGGGCTGGATTTAGGCTGACAGCTGGCCGCTACCAGCTGAGTCATACGTTGAGCTGCAAAGGTGATCTCAAGCAAAACACTTCGGTCTTCTACTTGGCGTAGACCGCTAAGGATGCCGAACCCTGCGGCTGAGGCAGCTAGCACACAAAAGCCTGAGCTGCAGACTCCGCGTCTGTGCAGTTTCTGAATGTCAAAGTTGCCCTCTTCCTGTCTGAGAACGTGATCTCCGTCTTGCATCATGCGAAGTAGATCGAAATAGCTGACTTGGAGTAGCGCAGCGCGGATGATGTTCGTCTCTCTTCTGCTCTCTGTCCCAGCTCTTCAATTGCCATGACAAGAACCTCCAGGATCCTCAAGGAATGATCTTCGCTGACCAGAGGTTCGGGTGTCACATCTTCGCGTAGCTCCTACACTGTAGGACCTACATCTTGTTGCCAACTTACCACCCAGAACTATGAACGCCTGGATGAACTCGCGACCGCTTTCCTCATCGATGCTTAGATACCTGACAAGGGCTTCACGCTCAGCCTTGGTGCATGCTCCTACGCTTTTCATGTTGTTATGCCATACATTCAGGGTGCCAGCAGAACAAACAACATTGTGTTGGCAGTTTTGGCCATGGACGAACATCAGTGCTTGCAAAAGTCGTGTCCCGATACGTTCCGGTTGCTCTGAAGTGTAGGTATGCACATCAGTTGCTTGCTTCCTGGTATGCATCAATTTAGTAGCAGTGTCGTACTCTCCCTCTCACCGTGATCTGAAAGCCAAGCAAGGCCATGCACCACTCTGTAACAGTAGGAAGGTTGTCCATTGCCGCAGCGCTCCAGAAGAGTTAGGAGATGGGATTCAGTGCCACCAAGACACAACAAGTACTCGATGCTATCCATCAGGTGCTCGTATCCCTCAAGCGGCTCACAGCCGCTCCAGACCTAGTTGTCAAGCAGGTCATATGAAACAGCATGGGGCTTCATATCCAACACATATGCTTTATCGCGTGGTCTGCCTCTAGAGCTTTGCAAACTCCACAATCACAAGCATTGGGAGATCCGGACATCATGTGAAAGGTGCGAAACGCCCCTGAGCTCCGAGCCACTCGAGCAATGGTTGGCTCGCGTCGATTAAAGATTAGGCGGACAGGCCTGGACTCGTCACGTTCGCAAAGTGAGAAAACACTCATGGCTGTTGCAATAACAGGTGAGACTAGCAACTAGAAAATGTTTGGCAAGGTCGACACAAATCGAGGACTGCACGCGGAGAGTGTTGGAATGGGTGGCACCATGCCAGCCGGGTCTGATGGCGCTGACCACTCTGACCAACCTTGCTTGGACTGCATGTTTGACGGGCCAAACGAACATAGTGTCATTACTATCAGCCCGCGCTTGAGCACATAAGCACGTGACATCTAGCATGACCCTGCGGCGCGAAAAAAACTCTCATGCTGTTGACCATTTTTGACCCAATGAACTATGCTGGAGCCAGGAATATGAATTCTGCTCTGCAAGCCCCATCAACATCTGCACACATCCCCAGAATATTGACTTGACGTTGGTAAGGCGGGCACGGATGCCGTCCGACACACGTACCCGCCACTCAACACTGTGAGTTGAACCTCCGCTGAAAACAAGTGAAGCCATGACATACTGAAGAGTGCATGCGCCCAGAAGTTGTAAAACTCCATCATCTCCATGTGCATTAGGCATTGTCCATCCTAGGGCCGGAACGGAGGCGGAAAGGAACGTCCTTCTTTTCCGGTCGCGACTTGGATGAGCTGTTGCCTGCTTTTTGGAAGCACCAACACGAAGCAGGAACTGAGGCACGGCATGGCAACAGCCTTGACTGTGTGACTGTGACACTCACAGCACGTGAGCACACGTCATGCACGATAGGGCCGAGCCTGTGGACATCAGGGACTGCCTGCCCCGCAAATTAGTGCAGAAAGCTCAGCATCTTCTTAAGACGTTGCGAGCGTACGGCTGAGACTGGCAGATGCAGCTGCGGCCTGGTGTCCCCCAAGTCGGCCTCTCAAAAGTTTGGTTTCTGCTGCTTCAGTCTTTTGCTGATTCCTTGCGTTCGCTTTAGGAAGGAGGCGCTTGATGCAAGGTCACTGAGGCAGAAGGCCCTGCCTGACTGGGCAAACTTCGGACTGATGTAGAAGGTTGGAACCTTGGCTCACGCTCACCCGCTAAGTGCCACTAGGCTGCTTCAATCCGCAAGGAATGCTTCAAACATGTGCGATCTATCCTTGAGAGCATGGTAACCTGGCAGGCTAAAACTAGAGTGCCATGCTGGTTCCAGAGCACGGAAACCCTCAGGAAAGTGATTCGGAGAGGAATCTTGATGAGCGCCCAAGTACTCACTGCAGGTCTCGGACTTGAAAAGCGCACCAGCAAACTGCTTGTGTCCAAACTGTCTCAATAGGGACACTTTCAGAAGAATCTGCTGAAGAACTCTGTTCGCAGGGCTCAGTATCTACTTGTATTGCGGGACCTTGATTTTTAGCTGTAGAGTTGGGATAGCCTCTCTATTAGGCTGCTTAGTGAGAATATAATTAAATAAAGTTGTACGTTCAGCTTTTCATCATAGCATAAGCAGCTGGTGAGTCCCATGAACCTGAGCGGATCCTCTGGTTGGGGGCTGGGACCTTCTGCCAGGCCGCACAACCCTCTAAAGACGGCAAATCTCGAATAAATTTGCCCTTAAGCTTTCAAAACTTAAGGTTGGTAAACTGAAACTCCCACAAACTGCAAGGATCCAACGATTCGCTGAACTGGAGAGCTTCAGTTGGAAGTCCATGCGTGATCAATCAGCAGTGTTCACCGCGGCACTGTGACAAGTTGAATCAGGAGCTCATAGCTAGCATGCTGCTCCGATTGCATCTTGCACTTTCTGAACGAACTTGCAGTCGCTAGCATCAGCAGCAGCAACAGCAACGACTATAACCACAATCGCCCAAGCATTTCAAAAGCACCAGGGGCCGTGTCCACGGATTGAGCTATCATATCTTCAAACAAAAAGGCTTGGCTGCCCGCTGGCTGGTGAACTCCATTGCCGACTCCCCCTCAGCAACCAAAGCGTTACGTCGCCAACAGACTCCTGGAGACTGACTGATGGCACAAAGCAAAAACTATGCTGGTTGGCTGCCCTATCAATTTGAAATACTGTATACAAATTTAGCCGCGACACTGGCAGACCGACATGCACATCATACAGCCCACCGCCAGGCAACTTCCAGCTAATACTGCACAGCCCTAAGGCCACGACGTCGGCCTCACGCTGGCTGGGGTCGAAGAACTCCTTGAGTGACGGACCAACAGTTGTTGCCAAATCTTCAAGGTTGAAGGTCAAGGACAGCAGAATCAAACCGCAAGGCTCTCTTCCAGCAGAACGCCCCCTTCAGGGGATTGAGTAAGTAGGTTCTAAATGGAATTTCAAGTCAGCCAATTGGTGAAGGCCTGCTGCGTCTAGCCCCATCTACACGTAACCCACTTGCCTATTACCCAGAGCCGCTAAGAATGGCAGCAACACAAGGATTGCTCCAGAATTTCGATTTGGCCATGGCTCTACCTTCCGCGATCCTAACGACAAGACGACACACGAAGCCGAAGGTGGGAAACATTGTTGCCGACACTTCCGAAATGCGGGCGGGCCAGAATTGATGACCCTCAAGATCAGTGTGGACAGTTTCCTTCACCTGTGACACCAGCAAAAATGGCATGACGTGGATCGGTGCCTCCTGCTGAAGGTGGTAGTGGCCTTCAAAGCAAGCACGCTGAGGAGGAAATGAGTGAGATGCCAGCCCAAACTGTTCAGAAAGTCGTTCACGGAATTCAATTCACGCACAATGATTCGTCACTTCCCTGCTGAGGCCACCACGCCAGGCAAGCCGCTGCCACTCCGGAGGTGAAAGCCGCCGAGTGAATTCGGCAAGCAGCGAAGCTTCATCAGGCCTCGGCTGGAAAGCCCAGCAATGGCATCACGACGATACAACGCGCTTATCGCCTGCAAGCTGACCACACAGTGGTAGACCCAGATCCCTGACTCCCGACTCGGGCCCACGCTCGCGCAGCAACTCAGATTCGCTGCTTGCCTGTCGAGGAAAACATCAAATCATGTCAGATTAAATCCATGCGACTCAGACAGAAGGCCGCACTGCTCATGGGGAAGAAGCGACACAACATCGTCAATGCTGCAGTTCAACCAAAATCAATCCGTGCTTGCCTCAGTCGTCATTCGCCAGCGCTTGACGTCGTCCATGATCGGGGGACTTAGCCGCACGGTGGTCATAATGTGCGCATAGCTATGCTTGAAGGAAAAAGGAATTCTTTCCGCAAAAGTCTAACCCCGAAAAGGTTGCTCCCCTTTTTGGGCCAGGCTGAACCCTGCAGGCAACCTTTGCCTTTCACAGATTTGAGATGCTCAAGCCACTTCTCACGCATGGCCAGTCTGACTTTGCCACTGCCTTGCACTGTGGCTGCTGTAAGGACGCAACAGCTCCAGCCATCCTGTGACAGGATGCAGATGTGAAGCCTCAGCTGCTCACGTGCTTTTTGGAAGCGCTTGTCTTTGTTTCCTCCAACGCTAATTGGGATTGGCGGGCAGATGCCAACTTTCTAGCATGCCGCTTAGCCTGCAACCGACAACTTGCAGAGCAACATGCCGATGCATGCTTGCTGACATGATTCTATGTTGCGAGATGTCGGAGGCAGTCTCTTGTGAGCAACTGGAAATCCGCAGAACAATGAAGAATAACCTGTAGTAACCCACAGAACATAGCGCGCCCCGCCTGAGCAAGCGGGTTAGTGGACGGGCTTGCATCTTCCGTCTGATCAGACGATTCCGAGTCCTCGGAAAGCTGCGCGCACTCTCTTCCAAATTCCTGTTGCGCAACGGATGAAGCAGGCCGCAAGACCAGCATCTGTCCAGCGTTCCCGAAGCAATAGCGGATGCACCAAGCAACATACAGTCATCAGATAAACGTATGACATGTACCACGCGGAAGCACCAGTCCTCTGAAAGAGTTGTAGAGGACTTGAGCAGCTGCATTCCTGCAGCACCCGCATGCTACTGCTGTCTTTTTTGTAAGCAGAATGCACACGCGGCGACTGTTCGCTACAAATCAAATGTGGCCTCTCACAAAAAAATCTGGCCGAGCCTCGGTGGTGCCGTTTTTTCTTCTTCTGTTGGGTGAGCAGGCGATAGCAAAATTGGTGCTTCACCGCTCCTTCCCAGGCCTCAGGACGTGCAAACCTACATGATACCGCAGCTCCCGTCCATACTTGCCTCATCCGTGCAAAAATGACAAGCGTTGATTTCTGCACTGCCAAGGTGCTGCGTTGGCATGGAGATCGGTGAGCATGCCGCAGGAAATGCCTGTGGTAATTGCTGAGACTCAGGCTGTCCAGCGCAAAGACCCTGTCAGGCGTGAAGCCCCTTAGCAACAACTCAGACTCAAGAGTCACTCAAGAGCAATGACTTTCCGATTCCGATGGATGGAGAGGATCAAGAACTCTATCGGTCGTCTTGATTCCAAGAAGGGACACAAGGCTTGCGGCGGCTTGCTCCATGTGGCATGCTCTGGCTGCAAAAGCTGGGCTCGACACGTTGTGGAACCACAAGCTGCAGGGATGACACGGACGGTTTCGCCACAAAGCTTCGCACCTTTGCAACAAACATCACTGGAAGGGCAATGTGAGCAAAACGCTGCAAGGCGGTTTGTTCCTCAGCCTGATCTCACAACAGGTTCGCCTTCAGCCAGACTAGCCAGCTTTAGTTCCTATGCATATGCCGAATCGCTGTTCTGATTCATGTATAGACCGTATGGAGGATTGTTCCTTGGTGTCCCGGCAGGCCCAGTAGCGGCACTGTAGTGCAATGCCGTGTTCGTCTCGGCAATAGCTGACTGGCCTCTGCTGCAGGCTGAATCATAGAAGACTGGTACTATATAATGTACTGTACTTTGCCCAACGCATCGCAACGCCTGCTCGGAGCCGCCAGCGTAGATGAACTGAGCGAGGCTCGCCTTGATTCGCTGGCGCTGTAGCTTTCAGCGAAGATGCTACATGGGACCAATCGCGTACACGCAAGACACCACCATTCGTTCCCTTCGAGATTTGCCCTGAGGCGGCAACGGCTGAGTCCTGCACTGCTATGGTCGCTTGAGGTCCAGAGACCGCTCGCAATTAGAAGTGGCACCTCATGCCCATGCTGTGCAAACAGGCCGACGAGGCTTCAAGTCAACTGAACGATGCCACAACGCTTACTGCAACATGTTGCTGACAAAGGGAAGGATGTTCCTCCAGTATGCCACAGTCTGCCTAGTACCTGCACTCCGCCGGCCCCCGCCCCCATCAACTTGTCGTCAGTTGGTGTACCTGCTCCTGTTTCCTCGTCATTCAGGTTTTGAAGCTGATGAAAATGATTTCATGAAAGACAGCCCAGACCATGCCCCCTGTGCCATCACGGAGCCTTTGCTTTCGAACGAATCAGAAGCATCCTTAACGGCTTCAAGCTTCTCGCTTGCTTTGAAAACACGAGATCTTATGTTATCAGCTGGACATGCTCGGCAGGGCACCCAGTTTGCTTCCTCCGTCGCCTCATCTGGGAGTTCGAACCAGACCTTACCAGTTCCAAGTCTGGTCCATGAAGTGTGACTGCAACCATGTGCAAATTCGTCTCGCGCCAATCACCAAGGAGGTTCCAATCACGTCCGACAAGCGGTTACCCCAAAAAGCGTAAACCGTCAAACCACGGCATAATGCAGTCGATGAATGCACTCTTCCTTCCGAAAGTGACAGCATTGTCCAGTTCGGGGGTGGGCCTCACCCTTCTCAAAGTTGGCGAAACAAACCTGTTGCGCCTGCCAAAAGTGAAGCTCGGCGCTGACTTGAAGGCTTGACGTCACAACTTCCTGGCAAATTGTGGCAGGTTTGCCTTTGGCTCCTTCCAAGGCCCTGTGGCCCGACCTCAGACAAGTGTGACTGTATCATGTAATGCAGACACACGCTTGCGACACTATATGGCATGATGTACGGCAGACTAGATAGTCTGCGTGAGCTTGTGTACATCTAGTAGCTCATCCAGCCAGGAGTAGATCGACAAAAGCTTCATGTCATTTGTCATGTTCATTGCTGGAGGGCTTCTGACTTTCTTTGCGGAACATGTCTGCTAGCACGTGTCGAGCTGTGAAGCTGCTAGACACACAGGTACAGGAAAGAGATGAAAGTGCACCTTTTGTGCAAAGAAGATCTAGCTTGGCAAACTTTGCGAGATTGCTGTGCGCAGGCTATCGTCCTGGACTTGCACATCGAGGTCATGTGGCAGGCAGAGGACCTGGTGATTGGGGGGTTTGGAGCCGTTCAGCTTGTTCCAGAAGACCTTCACCTTCTCAAGTCTGAGTTGTCCACCAAGTACAACAGTCTCGCCCTTTGGGTCGAGCGGCCTCCAGTGCATCGGCTTCTGAAGCCGCCAAAAGCTGCTGTGCGCGCAGCTTGTGTCGTATTGCCGAGGGCAGCACTTGGAAGTTGGATCCCTTAAGGATTGCCGCGCCTCGCTTGGACAGAACCTGCAACAAAGGCGGCTTTTTCTGTGACTAGGATCCTGCCAGCAGAACCTGGCAGAGCCGCAATTGTCTAGATTGGCCTTTAGCAACTTTAGCATCCTTTAGCAACTTCCTGCATCTACTGCTCCTCTTTGTTATGATGAAAATCCAAATTCCAGAGCCGGTTTAGATCAAAGATTCCCTTCTGAGTTCCCGGCTCCAGAACATGGCATGCCTCCCGAAGAACATCCACCGGTCTGCCCAGCACCCGCCAGGGCCAGCGCCTCGTCCAGGACAAGTTCAAGGGAGCCTGGCGCTCCTCCAAAACTGGAGACTGAGCGGCTGAGGCTCGAGCACTACAACGTACGTCATAGAACCTGGAGCTCGGCGTGCCAGCAACTTGTCCAGCTGTGGCCTCAATGAGCACAGGTTGAGGTGTAGAAGAGTTACCTTCTGTTCTGACACCAGCTGGATGCAAGCATCTGCTCATGAGCATTGAGCTGTGTCTGGATCAAAGAAGACTTGGGCAGACACGTAGGAAGCTCCGACACCGGGGCAAGATCGGGAGGCGCTGGAGGAGGCACCCGCTCCACAACAAACTCCTCCGACCTCATTTCATAGCTGCTAGTAATAAACTGAGGCTTAACGTAGCAGTACGATTGCACAGCACATTGAAACTGTGTCAGAAGCCTGTGCTTGGCGTCATGTGCGTGGACATCGACTGACCATGAGGTTTGCCAATGCATGCAAAAAAAAGCGTCCGCGGCAACGAAGCAAGTTCGATGACCTAGTGTGATCCGTCTTTGGCCTTGAACTAGCCTGGCAAATACGATGAGAAATTCGTGGCTGCATCCTGTTCTACTAGAAAATGACTGAACAGTGGAGCTCAGCGAACATAGTTTGTGAGTCCAGGATGGGAAATCTGATGTAGAATCACAAATTCATGCAGCGACAAGAGAAAAATAAGCTCCACGCTGCATCAAGGGGGTCCACCTTGCAGAGAACAAAAGGATTTCCAGCTTGATGACCCTGCTGCGGTCTGGCCCAGGCTTTTGCTGGACCATCCATGATAGGCCGAGCCCAGCGGCCAATGAACAGAGGCATTCGTCTCGAAGCGAGCTTCCACCGTGCCTGAAACGTTCTCAGGGATTCTGCAAAACAAGCTAGCTGATGCATGCTGCTGCTGCGGCAGGCAGGTCTGCAGTTTGCGGATATGCAACTTGTTGCGGATGCTAAGGCTGCACGCACCTCTGCACATGGCACTCGGAACACAAAAAAACCTAGAGACTGGGTGGCTGGCAGCGGAACATTTTGTCAGGAAGCAGGGCTGGCAAGCACCACTTGATTTCCTGCACCTGGGGCTGATTTATGCATCGTCCTCCCAATGCGGGAGCAGGAACCGTTACTGAGTCCGCACCGTCACATCTGCATGTGGCTCCGGAAAGGCACTAGGCGGCCTCGAACAGTCACAATGCTTTGTTTGTAAAGGAGCGTTCTCACACCAAAGCTACTGTATCCTGGGAACTCTTGGAGTACAGTGGGATTGAGCATGGAGTAATTCGAGAAACGAGGGCCAGGCAGATCATGCTGGCGGTAGAGCAAGTCACCCAGCGGCTCTTGGCTGCGAGCCTTGCGCAGAAAGAAGTGGCAGCTCAACATGTTGCAGAACAAACACAGACATGTCTGGGTACTATGATGATGCCATCACGTTAGAGTGCGCAGCTAGCTGCTGACGTGCTTGCGACCAACATTGCAAAGCACGCATCCTGCGAGCCCCAAACTTGGGACACATAGGCCTTGCAGCTAATGCTGAAACCCTGCAGTGAACGAACCAAATCACTTCCTCCTGCTGGGCCTTGAGGTCCTCCTCGTTCAAGGACAGGACTCTGCCCTGAAGCCAGGCAAAGACTTCATGGCTAGGACTCCTGCCTTTGAGCGGCAACCGCAACGATGCGCGCCGTGTGGCCTTTGTTCCCCCTACCAATACTTCATGTACTGCGCTCCCTCTTCTTTTGGTCCCTGTCTCCCACATGATCCTGGCTCCATTCTATAGGCCCCAAGCAACTTCAGCCCTGGTCAGTGCTTGCTTCTTTGCAAAAAGCGCCGTACGTCTCCAATCATACATCCAGCGCTCAGATCTGCCGGATTTCTTAGCACCCTCACTGCAAGACATTATTAGGAAGCCAGAACCAAGAGTCAAAAGACCAAACACATGACTCAGACAAGAACAGCTTGCACTCGAGTTCTCAAGTTGGCTATCAGCGGCTATCATTGTTGCTTTGTCCCCTGTTGCGTTGGCCACTTGGCGCCGCCTTGCCGGCAAACCTGCAATGCCTTTACACTGCAATCATCGATTTAGACTGCTGTCATCATGATGACAATCACAGGGCAGCCTGCTGGTCAACTTCTGGAGAGTCTGGCGAGGGGCCCAGCAGCCACACCTTCAAGTGGTGAACACCACTATCATTAAGTCCCAGCAGCTCTCCTGCTGATGAGTTTCTGGCGTTTAGGCGATAGACAAGCCGCGGTGGAACAAATGGAGGTAGGCTGCCCGTCCTGAGCAAGTGTGAACCGAACAAGCGGAGCCAGGCCACAGCTGACAAGCTTCAAAGAACTCAACTTGCAAATGCACACGGAAAATCACGGAAACCTGGGCGCTAGGCTCCAGGATCCGTTGCGCGATCGGAAGTGCCTCTGCGTCTGGCTGACCTCAGAAAAGTTTCCAAGATCGGGATTTCATGCGCCTCCGACAGTGGCTGTCCAGGTGCCAGGCTGTAGGCGAGAGGAGAAAGGTTTGGCCAGGCGGCCACAAACTGGCTCATCCTAGCCGTTGACCCAATTACCTTGGCTGCAGGGCCATGCAGCTCAATCGTTGCTATCCTCGACCAGCTTTAGCACGACCATGCGCGACCTATGCCAGCCGCCTCAATCATTGAAACACGTTCACTGATGGTTGCCAGCCTGCCGCCTGCCTTATGATGCCTCTTCTACTTCAAAACGACATCACGTTCTGCCCAAGCGTGTGCCAGGATGCATCGGACTCATCACACGGTGGCGGCCGGCATACCGACACCTCGCAGTGGAATGGCCGAAACATGTGCTCTACCAGACAGGCGGCAAGTTACAAACGCCCGGGGGTGAAGTCTGATGAAAGGTGTATCTGAAGCAGAACATAGCAATTAATCATTTGCTGCTTGGATGCCGGGACAGCAACTCTGAGCCGTGCGCCCAATGCGGCGGCTCCATGTCTCCTTCGGGCCTGGGGTTGTTTGGAGCTCAATCTGGATTGAGAAATGGGAAGCACTGGAATGACGCCCTCCAAGGATGCACTTCTAGCTTTCGAAGATCTTGCCAGCGATTGCCCATATGGCTAATCACTGGATGCTTCGGCTAGCATCTTGATAAAAAAAAAAAAAGCGAATATCGTAAGCTTTGGATAACGATAAAGCGAGCAGACCTACGAAGGCGTGGTTCCAGAAGCTAGCTCTTGAATTGGATCGCGTTAGAGATGTTAAAGGGACCTGGACACTGAGGCTGAGTCCGACAACCATCCGAGGGGTGAGGGGTATGATGCAAGTATCTGCAAGTATCTGCAACGCTGAATGATAATCTCATCGGCACGGAGTCAAGTTTGCCAGTGTCGAGCTTGTTTCCAAAAAGGGCGTCACTGAAAAGTAGCATTGCTGGTGCAATAGGTGCTGCCAGCAAGCAGGGCAATGTTACGATGGAGTTGTTGGTCGAGAGCGTTCCTCCCAACTCCTTTGGATGTTACTCTGAAATCGCATCTGGGCATCATGCGAAAAGGAGACCTGGGCATCGAGAGGCTCGAACAGGTTGACCCGCTCCGCTGCAGCCACCTTTTCAAGCTTAGCAAAGAAGCGCATTTGCCCAAACATCCTGCTTAGACGAGCCCCGTCGAGATTGGGCGAGGTTCAAATATTTCAGCGCTTCTTTGGCTAAGCAGCTAGCATGAGGGGCCATGGGCAGGGGAGCATGCTCTGAACTCGCGGCTCTTCAGCCCTGAGCTTTTGAGCTTTCAGCACAACATCCCAAAAGCTCTGCGGGCTACTTGGGATGAGGTACTCCACTGCACCTATGATCGAACAGCAGCTGCATGCCATGTCCCAGAACTTGGCTGCAGACCACATGCTCCCGAGAGGCCAGAATCCTGCAAATTTCAGACATGAAGCCTCTAGTCATGCTACCAACACATTTGTCCTACGTTCTGACTTGCGCTGTGGATTTGCCAAGGTGCGAACATTACTTGTCTGGCTTTGGTGCATGCTCACTTTGCCGTTGCTTCACAATGTAGCTTCCAGTGTTGCAACTGTTTTGTATGGGAGGTCGCAAAACGCTTGACCTCTTTAGACGGCGTGCGGATACGTACGGTATCCTTGAGGTCGGAGGGTTATCACGCATGCAACAGAGCCAACGTACTCCATGTGGCAAGGAGACGGGCTACAGTTCGGCTTCATCCATAGGACAGCAAATTCGGGCAGCTGGATGGCAGCGTTTTCGCAGCCAAACACTTCCCAAACCAACAGACACGACTCATGATGAAAGCGTGTATTTCCAGAGCGAAGCAAACAGAATAGAAAAAAAATCCAGCTAGTGCTCCCGTCAACGGGCAAATCCTTGCAATCTAGGCTTGCATTGGACTCCCTTCAGCTGCTTTCCGCATGGAATGGATACCACTTTAGACAGAAGGTGTTAAGCCAAGTCAGGAGCAGACGCAAAAACATCGAGCCTCTGAAGTTCATTCAGCTCCACTGGCGCGTTCTTCGAGATCTTGGGCCTGGGTATGCTGTGCTGATTATGGCTGCCCTTCGGAAATGAGCAGCAGGGTGTTGCTGTAGCAGACCTGCCGTGCGAAAGTAGGATCAACAAACTTCAGCAAAAGCTGCATGGTCTGGTGCTGTCTTGACATTGAAATCCTGCAGTAGCTGGCTCCCCCAAGCCATTGTTTAGCAAAAGATCCGACATTCTGAGCGACCAGCTCTATCGCAAAACAGCACTGCTCCGAAGGTGCTGACCTTGGAGCTTCTGCCACTGCCGAAGCCAACTACTATTTTGCCAGCAGAGTCTGCTCTGCTCATGTAACCGTCGAGGTGCCAGTCACTCCACCGGTAGCCATCGCTGACCCGCACAGAGAACCTCACTCCCATGCAGACGAATATCACATGTTACATGTTGGAGCCATCACTAAGCACTCCAACAGACCGAATCCAACCCTCGAAGGCTTTGCACTGAGAGGGCGGACTCGTATGTCATCGCCTCCTCTCATATGCGGGCAGTTGTGGATGCTAACTCCAGTTTCAACGCTTGAGTGCTAATCGACATGCGCATTCGCGAAGGACAAAGGTCATCGTAAACTCTGGCAGCTTCTTCCATTACAGCGGGATCCTGTGCGCGGGCAGCGCCCCATGGCTGATGAGGAAGATTCTGGCTTTGGCTCTCCTGTGGCAGACCATCGCAGACCGCTGCAGGAGCTTGTGATTACAAAGGTCACAACTCCAAATTTACATGGGTAAGATGGTCCCAGAAACCTGTGTGTGTGTGCCTCCATGAAGGCACCTACTGTACTTGGGGATTGCTTTCAGTCGTCAATGCCATACAGCGTTTGAACGCGGATTCCAGTGGACAAGAACCATCGCTTCCTCGGCCAGCACGGTATCATCTAGCAGGTTGCACACGTCGAAAGCATGCGGTGAAGGCACTCCATCTCCGGACCTGCCCGAAGATAGCTGGACTTAAATGAAGGATAGGCGTAGCAGGACTGTAGAGATTGAGCAATAGAGGAGTTTGACGAGTCAGCCAGACGCTCAGGCACAGAGGCCGCAACTGAGATTGCTAGAGTTAGCTGCTAGAGCAAGTTGTAGCCGAGGCAGAAACATGGCCACTGACCAGGAGCAACGTTTCCAACAGCTCTGCTTCAAGTACATCACATCCAACATTTCATAACGTCTTGCCTCCTCACTGTAACAGGCGGCAGCGTACGCTTGACCTGCACTGTACCCACATACTTGATCAGCGTGACGCCAATCGGAGGCAGTAGGGTGTTAAGAATACAGTCAAAGCCTGCCGTGTTTTTTCTCGCGCCCTACGCTGTTGGACATTGCCAGCACGGGGTGTGTCAGTCCGACGGGCTCATCTGAAGTCATGCTTTTTGCAAAGCTACTGGATAAGGTATATGCCGATAACCCTTCCGGATATTCAATTCGGGCACTGTAAAACGTAGCACTCAACAATCCCGCTTGTAGATTGAACCCCTCATTACGGCTCTATTAGTAAGGAAGTTGCATCATGGCACTGTGGATAAGCGTGAGCCAATTATTGTGCTATCATGGACACTCCAAAGCTCCCAACCCAAGTACTGTGCGGCCGGCGACGCAATTGCGCAGCCATGCGCAGCTAAACACATCAGACCAGGCTTTCAGTCTGCCTTGTTGAGCCTGCCACTCTACCCGTTTAAGCAGCGTGGCAAGCCAGACCCACCAGACACTGCTCAGAGTGCAAAGGTTGCAGAACCATCTGCCGAAATGAGTCCTTGGCGCTCAGTTTTCCTGACTCCCTGGCAACAAAGTCATCCACGTTGCTTGCATCCGGGCGTCGATCGTGAGTGTGCGAAATGTCTGATTTGGTTGCCAAGCACTTGGTCATCTCCTCCGAATCAGCCTGAGGTCCAGGCGATTGCACATGGGCGATGTCATAACGACATTGGCTATCTCTGGCTTACTTAATGTGTTCCGCAAACTATCAACAGGAGTGGGTCGTGCGCAAGGTGCATGCGCTTGGAAAACGATAGAAGTGCACTTGAAGCTGGACTCAAAGCATGTCCCTGAGATAGGCGGCCTTCAGCTCAAGTCTCTGCAGCAAGTTCTCATAGTCGGCCTCGGGAAGCAATGGTCAGCAACGGTTGCAACGCTATGCTAAATGAAGCGAAATGACGCAGACCGCACCATCTGGTCAACTGCAAGCCTTTTTGATTATGTCGGCCGGCCTTTCTGCTTCCGTCCATTGCTGAAAGCCTGTCTTCCTCGGGTTGCGGGTTTTGAATGTTGCAAGTGCTCCCTCTCTCTTTCTCTCTGTCTTCTTCTGCGTGCTATGCGCAGTCCAGGGACTGCACAACGGCTGCGTCTCCAGCAGTCACAAACTATTGCAGAAAGATCAACTCTTGTGTGCGTCCCATGCTCCTGTGTTCACCCCAACACCTAATTCGTCCTGACTGCATCTCAAAGCTTGTTGGAAAGCTCCAAACTGCTTGGGGTGCTGTTCTAAGTTCTTTTTCCCAAATGTCAAAAACATCCGAAAACCCGACACACGCCGACGCCTTTGGCGAAGCTTTCGTGGCCTTTCATGCGGACACTAATCTTTAATTTTGGGGAAGCATGCGCCAATCTATGAAATCTAAGGATAAACCATATTTCAAGAACGTTTGCCAACCGTTAGCTGTGTTTTCGAACTCTCTTGTGCGCCAAGATAACAACTTTGGAACCCCTTTGTGGAAAATTTGCTAAAGCAAACAAGGCTGTTAAAACAACCCTCACTTCGCTGCGCTCCCATGTCCGAACTGGAAAAAGAGACACTCCCCGTTTTCACACGCTACACTTCCACAATGGAGACGCATCAGCCGTATACAAGCCGAACTACATCCATCTCCCCTGGCTGATCGTTGATCTTCGGGCCTTCCACAACACACTTGACTTGACACCAACCAACACCTAACGCAGCCAATTTATCATCAACCTTGGGGCGCCATATTCCAAGTTCATCACACTACATACACAATCGGAACTTGTGGCAAGCTGGTGCATCAAGACTTGATTCGGAGCTTCCAAGATGCTGGCTTACGCTTCTGCTTTTAATTATACAAGGAATTACATGACATGGAACGGTTTGGATCAGTACACATAGAAATTACTGGGTCTCCTTTTTGTGTCATATGCGCCCAAGTGATTGGCTGAATTCTCCCACGATGTGGTTGACCGTGTTTATTGACTACGCGCCTTACTTTGCTCCAATTTCAAAGATGTGGTATTGCGCACTGCCTCTGATGGTCAGATGTTTTTTTCCCAATGTTCCTCTATATAAAGGGCATGCACCTGCTTCGATCTTTCCTGTGCCAGACTGCTTTTGGTCGAAGACCTCCAGCTGACCTGCTAGCTTAGCCATTTCATTGTCAGCCGGGTCAGAAACCCAGTTTTTTGGAGTTGTTCCAATCTGTCCCGCTTCTCCCTGCTCAATGTGCTTTGACCTTCCTCAGCTGTGTCGGGTCATCCCACGAAGCGACGCTTTAATTTCTGCAGCGCGTGTTCTTCCCTGGCTTTCGGACCGACTTTGGGGGTGTGCTGAGCTTGTGCTCGCGCACCAGCGTCGAATCAAATGGCCATGCGATCGTTCTATCCGTTTCTGATCTTGCTTGTTGTCACAAAGCACCACCTTCATATTTGTGTCTCTCCACTTGACAACAGCATGTGCTCTCTGCCCCTCGGAAAAAGCACAACGAATCGTTTCAATATTTGGTCTATCCATTGCTGCAAGGCTTAGAGACGCATTGGTTCTTGGAAACCTCCACGCTTTCAAGGAGCCTCATTTGTCCATCCTTGGCGCAAGAAGTCTGTTGATGCTGGCGCTCCATCCATGGTAGTCGACACGGGCACCTCGCTCCCGTGTACTTCATTGATGTAATGCACCGCAGCATCAACAAGGTTCTGCGACACAGAAGATTGAACGTCGATCCTGTGGCTTCTCAAGCACCGTCTCAAGTGAGGCAAAGTATTTCTGGGCTCTTCGCACAACAGATCTACAACAGGATCCAAAGTCCAGACCTCTGCGCCGGCAGCCTGTGTGACCAGCCGCGCTTGGCGACGGGCCTGCTTTGCCCTCCCTAGGCATTGGCAGCCTTGAAAACGTGCGAACACGGCTTGCTGCAGTTTGCAACTTTTCACCTTCCTTCGAGTTACGATGCCCCTATCACACACGGGTCTTTACTCCTGTATGCTTGCTCTGCACCAAGTAATACCACTCTCCCAATCGGAGATCGTCTCCATGCGCCCGCAGTTGTTTGCTACTCACATCACGTTCCGCCTTCGCGCTTTTCCATCTGATAATGCTTCTCCGTAACTTGTCTCTGGAATCTCTGACGTCGACTTTCAGACTGCCCGCAGGTCGGTGGCCAGTCTTCCCAGTCACTGACTTTTCATCCGGTACGCCTTGCATTGAATTGGGGTTGAATTGGTTTCCAACTCGTAAAGTACTGCACCAAGTCTGGACTTTTCTCCGACAGCTTCTTGCTCTGTCAATCTCGAGTGTACCACCTGCCAGGCTACCACAAGTAAGCGGTTCGTTTTTCCAATCGTAGTCGTCCGGTGCATCTTGCACCGAGTTGGCTTCCATCTCGCAACCTCTTGCACTGTCCCCCCTCTCCTTGCACCCATTGTACCACATGCGCTGCCCCCAATGACAGTTGAGACAACTCAAGCAACATCCCCTCAATATACAAAGTATAAGCGATCCCAACACTCCTCACTGACTGAATTCGAATTAACGATTTCTCCCCTTTACTCTTCGCATGAGCTTAGAGATTCCACAAGGCTCTTCCGCCAAAATTGTGACCAAGCACTCGCCCCAAAGGCTACAAACATGCCAACTCACAAACAACACCCCGTAGACTGCCACTCCACGCGTCTGGTCGGTACAGGTGAGGCCCGGGATACCACAGATGCGACACACCCAATGTCACATAGCACACTAACCGGACTTCAAAACCTACAAAACGCTGGGTGTGTATTATCAGCTTCTCCCCTTCTCTAATCTGCTGTGAAACTCCATGTCACCGCTAAAGGTCTCTGTCTGTCTCTCTCTCTCTCTCTCTCTCTCGCTTGATCTCCCGTGAACTTAGCAACTCACTAAAAACAGATTGGGACACGAGCTAACCTGGCCGAAGCCCGATTCCATTTTGCCGTGTCTTTAAAGGAGGGCTCCTTAGACCTGTGACCTGCGGAGACCTGTGGATCAGCTCGTTTGAGGCCTTGCCTAGACAAAGGGGAACTTGGACAGGCGTTTGCTGACAGCTGGATCTGCGTACCAATTGCAGTTTGGACTGCCACTTCTGACAAGTCTCTGCCTGCTTTAGCCGCGGGACCAAGGGCACACCTGCACGACAGAGAGGGCACCGCAATTCAGCATCCGAGCAAAGCACTGAGAACGGTGCCTGCAGTGCCTGCAGGTGCAGCCCGGTACTGGTTCTGGCATTGTAGTGTTGTCGGCTCTGTCGGTGTCTGTAGTGTTCTCGGCTCCATCTGCTCCTTGTCTCGGCGCACATGTGCTCAGCGCTTACTCGAGCTCCCCTGGGCTCCTGCATCTGCTGACATGCAGGCACCTGTGGCTTGTCTAGCCTCTCATCCAAGCACACCGCCCGAGCTGGCAGCTCATCGCCCCAGAGGTGTCTGCCAAAAGCTGAGTTTCAGTACATTGCTTGAGTCTTGCATCTGCATATCTTGAAGGCTCTGAGGTGCATACAACTGACACATCAACAGTGTTTGTGATCACGATAGATATAACAGGTCCCGTTTGCCGTGAGAATCAGATCTTTTATCAACCTGCCTCAGCAAAGAGGCAATGTCTTGCCGACACCCATCCAAGTCTTGTCGAATCTCACCGGCATCCTGAGTACATGACATGTGTCCGCGCAGAGCTTTGAGTAGACTGCATGAATCATCGCAGCACATGGCATAGTGTAAGCAAGCCTGGCGCTTCGGTCTGGTGTCAAATCTGGGACAACGCCCGACCGCCCTATGCCCTATGCCATACACCGGGCCTTGCGCAGACCAGAGTGCACATCCTGTACAAGACAGATGGCTTCGCTGAGCTGTGCAAGTTGAAGGCTTCTGAAGCCCAGCTTAGGCCTCGTGGCGGCCTCCCAATCCCTTCAGCTCAACGTTAAGCGCCTGTAAGAAAAGCTGAAACAAGCCAACTTGCAGCGTCCCAAGTCCGGGCCACCCCTCGCTCCCAGCCTCCAGGCGGCCGTCCATGTCTTGCCGAAGCTGATGTTCCAGGGAAGTGACGGACTGCTCCAGCTGGCGCCAGGTGTCCTTCAATTAGGACAGCCTTGCAACAAAAGGAACGCCTGCAGTGCCTGTTTCGTGTCCTTCATTTCCTTTGCTGTCGGCAGTTCAGCTACCTGAGATCCAAATCGAGACTGTTCTCAGGGAGTAGCCTGCTGGCGGGAACTCTGTCGCCCGCCTCGATGCCGAGCTCTGTAACTCTGGCTCCCAAGGATTCCTGGGATGCAAGGCTTGCAATAACTCCGCACCGATCCCACCATGCGCCTTGACCCACGACATCGCTCAACAAACCACCGCTTGCCATCCAAGAAGCAAATGCCATTCTTGTAGAGCGCTGGTTTGTCTCACGCTCATGTTCCAAGTCTCGGCGGCAGGCACAGCACTGTAATCAGCACGCAGCCAGTGGCTCGTGCTACTAGCTCAAGTGCGAAGAGTCTTGCAGCGAGAAGCTGGAAAGGCGGTACTCCAAGGCAAATGTCTGCTGCGAAGTCTGCTGAAGGTTCCTTGGTAGGAAGATTGTAGCATCTACCCGCCCCATGCTGAACAGCACCGATGGTGGTAAGAACAAGTATGACACATATTATGACAAACATCAGCAGGCACGGAGCGCGTTAAAGGCCAGGCCCAAGTGTCTCATCCAGTAACTTCACGAGGCGGCTCTGCTGACCAAGTTCCGAGGTGAGCCTGCTTTTCACTGGTCAAAGCATTCGGGCAAATTGCAGGAACCCGGGAACCTGCTTTTAGCAGCAACAGAAAACTGATGACAGCTATGCTAATACTGTATCACGGTATCCTGTCTTCATCGCGTCTGCCTGGCAATCTCCTGGCTTTGCTCCTCAACGTTTTTGCGCAAACGTCGCAGCTGGCTCTCCGCGTCCATTGCGGGGACGCGGACTCTCAAGTGCTGCCAATCAGTTTGTTGTGATCTGGGTCCTTGCAGGTCTTGAAGTCTTGGAGAAACACAAGTCAGCAGTTGCACGCTTCCAGGTTCCTTTATAATAGGTCTGAATTCCCGAACCAGCTTGGAAAACTGGGAAACGTCAATTCCTGATGTTTGCCTGTTCAGTAGCTACAGCTACATTTTGACATAGGGATCAATACCTCCAGCACTGAGCAAGAAACAGCTGTACCATGATGTGCAAGATGGGCGCAAGATCCAGTGCTTGTCGAAGCTTTTTTTTTGCTTTGAATGACTGCGCACGGTGTAATTCATTTCAATATGCTGCAAGTTGCATGCCCGCCTGGCTCTCCACCCAAGCGCGATCATGCCGATACGTCGGCCTGCGCATGCGCACCTGACCATCCCAGAAAGGCCCTTTGCCACAAAAGAAGGGGCGTTGCATCTCCTGGATTTCCGGGCTCATGAAAGAAGAATCCACCCCGCCCTTTTTGCTCTTTTTGGATCTGCAAACTCTTGCCTTTGGCAAAAGGAGTCTTTGGGAACATTTCTTGGAAATGCAAACTCAGACATGAGCCGCAAAAGATCATGACGAGTAGGTTGTCAGAGATTATTTGAACGAGGATCTTGTCTGAGGCTGATCAGACTGAAGCGCGCTCAGAGCGTCAGCCTTTCGCCTGCAACTCTGAGGCCAGCTTGGCCTCCCCAGCGCCTGCCAGTCCCTGGATTGCCTGAGAGGGTTCGTCATTGACCAGCTGCAAAGCTGAGCAAAGTCGAACATTTTGAGCAAAGCCAAGCGGCCGTGTCGAACGCTCCAGAAAATTTCAGCAGATTCGGCCGCTTCTCTGGATGTTCTTCGTACGAGGAAGTGATCCTAGATCGCATCAAATCACCTGAGTTAGGCTTGGCAGAAGAAAGCATCAATGCTCATGTGATCTTCAGTACGTGTGCTGCGTGCTGGCATCAGCTCCCCTTGCAAAGCTGTGCCTTGAATCCACTGCGGAAGAAAGATGACAGACAGTTTTCCATAGAATCTTCGGCTTGGTGTGGACTTTAAGATCACTGCCGAGGCCGAGGGGCACATGGCACCGAGCCGCTGCCGCTGCTCTGCTGCGACAGCCTCCTCCGAAGGACCAAGGACTTCCCAATAGATGCGCAGGCTGCCTCAGTGGAGAGGAATGCGCTTGGAAGTTCCACTCACCTCACACCAAATGTTGCTAAGGAGCTGATGTTCTTCAACACCAGCATTGGGTTCATGCCTGATTCCTTCCCAAGCTCGCTCTCGGCATCCAGGAGGTCCTTCAAACTTCTGACTAAACAAATAAACCGTCAATATACCTGCGGTTGCCACGAATTTGCCTGCAGCCAGCCCGACTATACACGACACGAAAAATGGTATCAGATCATGCTGAAAGACCGAGGATCGCGGCACCGACCTGCCCGATTGCTGTCTGCATGGGTTTCTTGCATGATGTCGGGGACTTCGGCGGCAACGCGCCGGATCCCCCTGACCGTTACCACTTTCACGTGACGAAGATGCGTCGGATCCCTGTGACTGCTGTCGGCACCATAACCACGGTGAGCACAAGTCTTGGCTCACACAAACCTGTACCTGTTCTCTGGGAAGGACTTTGTGTGTTTCTGTTCACTGCCCATGGAGACCCAGGCAGGAAGGTGCTGTGTAGCACGGGCGTTCAGTAAGAATGGTTGATTTAAAAATTCTGCCCGCAAGATCCTGAAGAGAGGTTCACATCTAGGTTCGCAAGAACGCCAAAGCAACGAAGAAGGTTCCAAGAGCACGCACCGAGGATCGCAGCCTACGCGGTGGTTGAAGAGTGACAAGCGTGAGAATACCCCAAAGAAACTACAGTGACGAGGACTGAGTGGCACGCGCACACTTGCACTGCAGCAGCATCTTGATTTCATGTGAGGAATCTCCACGCAGGTAGTGGTAAGAAGGATCGGGACATCTCTGCTTGAAACTTACTGGGCAACCGCATGCGACGGGACGGTGGCGAGAGCAGCTGCTGAGCAAAATTATGTGAATTCCTAGCGCCTAAGCGCGCAACTACTGCGTTCAGCATACGAGTAGGTATGCTACGTGGAATAATCTAAGCAGTATCCCGAAATTTGTCACAGAGGAAGAGTACTGGTAATGCATACGTTACTTGCAACCTCAATACTGGCGTTCGCTATTGACAGTAGCAATTGGTAATTGATGACATATGTAGCCCCACGGGTTGTAACTGCTGCAAACCAACAACGTCAAGAATGGCATCAGAGTGTTTCCTTCTTGCTTCTGTTCCTTTCCTTGGTGTTCCCTGCTTTCTCACTTCTTCAGTCCCTTCCTTAGTTCCTTCCTCCTTCCTTCCTGTTGGCTTTCCGTGCTTGATCCCCGAACTTTGAAGACGTTAACACACAAAGAAGAATCATCGTAGCTAAACAAGAATACCAAACTGGGGACAAAGGCAAAAATTACGCAAGCAATCTACTCCGGAAAACATCCAACGTCAGTCAGCCGTGTACAGCGAGCGCTCGCTGGCTGAGAGCACGCAGACGTGGAAGGCCAAACCGACCCTTCCGGACACTTCGAAACACCATAAACGCTGTGGGCAAGGCGAAGCCGAAAAAGTTCTGACCGGAAAGGGCAAACATCATGTCAACACACAGGCCAATGGTCAGAAATCGACCCCCAAATCTCACGCAACATGCTGGTCACCCATCTGAACGCTTGCAATTAGAGCTCTTCAAACGCAAGCATCCGCAAACACTTGCCCTAGTCTTTGGATTGCAACTGCACGACGCAGAGAAAACACATGCATCAGGGAAAGCCCAACGAATGCATGCAATATCCATTCGGGATGAAGCCAGATGAACATCTTTCTGAAGGCGTGGATGCGAACAAGCCACGCACCAGGGTCGCGTAAGACGCGCGCAAAGCAAACCTTAAATTTAACACCCTGCTACTACCTCCACGGCAACCTAAATACCATCTTGACGCAACCGCAGACAATCAGCTGGAGACCTTGCTCAGCCGTTCGCCATACCAGGAAACCCACTTGAAGGCAACAGTTTATGACATGATGAGGCTTTGGCTTGATGCACAGATGTCGTTAGATGTGAAAAAAACTAGGTGAATGGCTGGCGAGGAAGGACTCTTGGAAGCCTTGTCATGTGACTCAAATGCAAAACCCAACGGAGCCGCAAACACTAGCGCTTTTAATCTTTAGTGCCATTCTGACAGAACAAGGTCGCGACCAAGACTTCCACAGGCAACCGTAACTACATACGGCAGGTTGTTCAGGAAGCCATTCTCCCACAACTGAGCAGATTTCGACATTTGAAACCGAACCCTAAACCCTACATAGACCCTACCCCCTTCTGTGTGGCTGCACTACGCATTGCTCCTGCGAGGCTCCGGCCACTGCCATGGACAACAAGAAGTCGGTGCAGCAGGAGCCCAGCGACCTGTCAGCAGATTAGCAGGGAATAAGGGAAAACACAATATTGGGATCATATAAGGAATACATTCCGCTACCACCAGTAAGGTCAGGTGCGATTAAGCCAAAGATTGCTATGGCGTCCCAGATTGGTTTACATGGTTTCCAATCTGGGCTATGACATTATTCTTCAAAATGCTCCCAGAGATGGCCAACACAATCTCTGCATGCCAATGTCCTACAAGTACCCCTCTGCACTGGCGGGCAAGCCTTTGCGCTTCGTCCATCTTGTGGGCGAAGGCCATCAAGGCCTGAACAAGACGAAAGAATTGAAGCGACAAAGCTTTCAAGGGTTGAGGTCTCACCGGTAAACCCACATGTACTGGCACCACGCCGAGCCTTAAGCTTGGCCTCCTGGTCCTCCCTGGAAGCAGCAGCACACGCTGCAGACATTCTTGTCTTCAGCGTATTGAAGGCTGTCACCAAACGATCACTCAGTTCTGGAGATTCTGCCGCTGGCCAGAGAGGGACGATCTCTGTCAAGTTCTTAAGAATGACATTGGGATTCATCCCTCTTTCCTGGGCAAGCATGGCCTCCACCTCTTCCAGCTTTGCCTTAACTGTCGCAACGGCTTCTGGAGTCTCAACCTCACCCGGCGCGTCGGGCTCTGCAGGCTCTTCGAACACAGCAGCCTCCTGGATTTTCTTGAGCTCTGCCTCCACGCTGGACTCACACCCAGCTGCAGCCACAACGGAATCAAAGCTCTCGGCAAACTTCAAGAGGCCCTTAATCTTCGGATACTGGCCTTGGGTTGGCAAATACCCAACTACAACACAAGACCATCAATCAACCTGTGGGATGTCGACTCCTGGCCAGCTATGCCAAGTGGCTTGCAGCGACAGCGGTCTGGAAGGAGTCGCACATTCGCTGAGAAGTCTTGGCAGTGACCGACTGCCTTACCGCTTTGCTCTTGTCATATGCTCAAACAGCTTGTACTGCGCACATGCTGTTCATCTGATCAGATGTACGAGTAAGCCAGTGGATGTCAGTGGATAACTTTCACAGGTCAACTTATTTCCCAGCTGTTTGCCATTCAGTCACAGCGAGGATCGCAAATCATCAACGCTGCCCGGGTTGTAGTGACCAACTCGCTTCACCAACTCCAAGACCAGAGCCTCACAGTTCAGACCAAGAACCTCCAGGATTCCCCTCCCAGCTAACTGCTGAGGCACCGGGTTCAGGCCGGACTCCTTGCTGAGCTCTTCTTCAGCTCGTTGCAGGCTGGTGCGGCAGATTGACTCCTGCATCCAGCATCCATGAGCTAAGCACAGAGAGTGAACTCACTCATGGTTGTCAGTGTCCTTGAGACGTGGTAGCAACGCTTTAGACTCCCCAAGCAGCGTCAATTTGAGACCTTCGTGCACAAGGTACCGTCAGGTCAAGTGCGCAGCAGGAAATGCCAGCCGAAATCTTCGAGAACACTCAGAGCATGCAGTTTCAAGAGCACAGGTTGCAGCGAGCTACGGGCTTCATCATAACTTGTCGCGGCTGCTGCCACCTGCAGTCTGCAAAAGGGCATGGCGACAGCCAAGCTGCGGCATCGACGCGAATCTCCCAGGCCTCTTCTAGCTCGTCCGTCTTCTGAGCCTCTGCCCTCGCGAGCAGGACCTCCTCCAGCTGGGAGAGGGCTCCTTGAATTCGCTCGGCTTGGTCTGCGGGAATCCTCGGATTCGAGCGGAAATGCTGGAGCCAACACTCTGGCTCAAAATCTGACATATTTCAAGGCTTTGCAGGTGAATTTTCTTCTGGGCATCTTTTCAGCTGCTGATGACAAGCTCTCCACGAAGCTGACCATGGTCTTTGCACTGCCGCTTGGTTCCTGCAAATCACACATGATTTGTGACCTCTGGAGAGTTACAGTAAGGTACAGTACGTGAAAACCCAAATCCACCCAAATCAGAAGGCTGGACCCGGCCGTTTCGCCTTCATCTCCGCGGTGAGGCCACTGAGTGGTGCCTCGTAGGCTGCGGCCCCAAGGCGCCCGGCAACCCCACCTCTCAAAGTCCAACTGTGCAATAAGGCCAGGCACTCACATTGCTATATGGAACTCTGATGTACTTTAATGGCTTGCAGCTCAGACCGACTAGGGTACCCTTCTTGGCTGATTCGACAAAGGAAGCATGGACACTTCCAGCTTCGTCCCTCATACTCCCTCTCGACCCTTGGCCTTCGGGCCAGCCCGGCAATGTTCCAAGCGCCTTCGCAGGAAAGGAAGCATTGCAAGTTAGATTAGAGATAGCACGAACTCTTGAAGTTCAGACGGCAATTGACTGCAGACAAGGCACATCAAGCTTTAGTGCCTAAACAGAGGGATGGTTGACAAACACAAGGCCTGAAACTTCTATCTGTCCTGGACCCAAAAGGCAAGATGCAAAATCCATCATCTCCTGGCCCTTGCCGGACGCAGCAGTGACCCGCTCTGTGGCAAGTTCTGCAACTTTGGAAAACCCATCCTGGGTGGCGTCTGCACGAAAATTCTCCCACAAATCCGAATGCTGGGAAACAATGCAACCAGCCGGACATCTGAACATATCGGAGCTCGCAAAAAATGTTAAAGACAAGTTCTTGTCAGAGTCTGCTCCTTGCATCAGAGGCTCCAGCAGCTCAGCTGGTAAATCACCGCCTTGACAAAGAGGCCACCTCCAAGATCTCTCCAAGAAATTAAGAAAGATTTGAGAGCCGAGCTAAAAAGACCCTGACCCTGCTTGCCCCTGAAAGACATGATCCCAGAGAAGGTGAAGTACCGGATGCTTAGCTCATAGCCCAGGGAAAGGACAACCCGGTGCATGCCAAGCTGGGATCTCTTGCTAGGCCACCATCGGTGGAGGGCTGCAAAAGCATTGTAGGCCGCATCAAAGTTCTCCTGCGCAAATTCTGCTCCACTTTGCCTCAGCGTGGGGGCGCGTGAGTGCCACTGGGCCACAACTCGGTATGACAGTATGCATCAGCATGCTGTGTGGGGCCCAGGTGCTGCAGCTGTACCTTTACCATGTGCAGCCCAACCTGTCGTGTAGAGAACATATCTGGTCCCTGAACAACAAGTGAAGACTGCCACCACACCTGCTGAATCAGCTTCTCCACTTCGGGCAACTGCAGCTGCCACGAGCTTTCCTCTGCAGCTGCCTCGGTGTGAATCACAATGCTAACAAACAGGTTCGACACCTGCCACAAAGGCGGCCCTGAGCTGTTGCGCATCTGTATGAGAAGCAGCATCTGCAAGATTCTAAAGGAGTGCTAGTTCCCAGCTCTTTCAGACGGGAGCCCTGCTCAAACTACAAGACTCTGCGGCCACAGTGGCAGCAGCCAGCTTTGTGCATCGCTCGTCGAACTTTGCAACGAGGTCTCGCCTTCTCCAAGTTTTCAGCACGACGGCTTGTAAGACTGCATGGAGAATGGAGTGACTAGAAGAACATCACACTTCAGCAGTTTGCAGAGGGTGCTTAAAGCATCTCCACGGCATGTAGCCCATGAGCTTACTCAGCACAACCAGCTGGCAAGCAAACCACTTTCTCCCCTCAACCCAAGGCAGGCCGAGAGACGCTGAAGCAAGGCACGTAGGCCCCTCTTTCTGGAGAAGGCCAGGGAAACCCTTCAGGAACTTCGCAGATGCGAACCTTCCCAAAGCTAGCATCATGATTCAGTAGCTGAGGAGACTTTGCGGCTTCTGCGCTTCGGAGCTTTGCACCCCTGAGGGGCAGGCCCATTGGCTTGAACCAGCGTACGCTTTGCAATCTCCGGTGTTACAGAGCCGGCAAGGAGTGCCTCGAACAATACAATTTTCTGCCTTTTCTGGACCACGCATCCCGAGGCCCAGACGTCCAACTTGGCAACAATCTCCTGCAGCGCCTTTCACAGAAACATCTGCATTCCGGCGACTCTCAGACGTTCCTAAAGGCTGCCGCCGCAGCAAGATGCAGTCAATGTCGCCCCGAGGTAATGCATCGCTATTCAGGAGTGGCCTCCAACAACTTGGACACCTCACTGGTGCCCTTGACTATCTCAGCAATCTCTTTGACCACCTTTTCCTGAGGCAATAACTGGCGCTGATTGGGGTGAACAAGACGGGTACAAAGCGATGATAGCATGACAAATGATGTAGGAAGGTTCTGGGAATGCAGTGCAGACATGTGCAGGCTAGCATCCAAGTGCATGCTTCGCATCTGCTCCCATCTCGCTTCCAGCTTCTTGGACACAGGACTCGCACGGACCGTGTCCAAGTCAGCTGCTAGTTCCATGATGTCCTCTCGTCAGATGTTCCCATCTACGGCTCAACGTTTGTCCCCGGAACGGAGACATCGCATGCCAATCACGGGCATGCTAATCAAAGGTCCTTGCGAATTGTCTCAGCGTCGTCACTCTCCACCAACTCCAGAGTGATTCGGCTATCTATGTTGCTGTAGATTGTATCCTGAGTATGGCTTCAGTAAACGCAATGGAAGCACACCTTGGCACCACTCAACGCACGAAAGCTTCATCAATTCCACAGTTCCCTGTTCAGCTCTTTCGGTCGGTTGTTCTCAGAGCCCAGAGTCACTGACGATACCAATGCGATCGATGAGGGCGGCATCGGGCTTACTGGCTTCCGCAAGCGCGTCCATTGCTTCGCGCAGCTCCTGAACAGATCAACTCACCGCGGCAGAAAGCAGAAGCTGATTGAATTTGAGTCCTTGCCACATTTCATCATTTCGTTCAGGCCATCTGTGCCCCAACCTGTCCAGCTCTCAAACAGGGTGGGCACTCTTTGTGAACGGCCGCACGCCCGTCTTCTGGTAATGTTGCATGCACGCTCTGTTCCACAAATCTGGCCTATCTTCTTTCCTTCACAATGCTTCCTGGATCCCATCAGCCAAGCACACTACCCATGCTGACATCGCAGGAAAGGTTGCAGCCTAGGATCTCCACTGCCTCAATTCGATTTTTGAGGTCTGAAGTAGAAGCTCCGCTGCCCATGGCTGTAAATGCGCAGCCCATCTTCTAACCCCACATCCCACCAACACTTCACGGTTCCTGAAGCCAAGGCTTTCTCAAATTGCAAGGTGTGGGTAGGCAGTTTAGCCCCACAGCTGGAGGACCGCAGTACGTCTGGCAACAACTGGAGGAATGAAAGCCAGCTTCCATCAACGAGCCTGGTGCATCTGCCCAGACATCTCCAAGTTCTTGTCCGTCTCAGCACCTGCAGACTGAGCTTACAAAGAAGGCGTTCATTGCAACTTTTCTCAGAGGTCGTAGAAAAAAAACGCAGTAGGTAGTTGCCATGTTCCGGGAAGAGGGAAGGACAAGTCTCCACTGCCCGGGACCCAGCGCACGTCCCTGTAGAGTATAAGTCTGAAGCTGAAATTGATAGCATGCCCCAGCTGAAGCCCTGGACCGGGCGCTGCACATTGCGCGGGAATGCTGCTCCACCAGAGCAACGGAACGAAACGCCCGTTGCTGCTCCAAACAGTCTTAGCGACCGCTGAAAGCTCTTTCGATGGCGCGCAATTAAAGTCAGTTCTAAGGATTCGGCCACGCGAGGCGGGAGCTCCAAAGGTGGCATCTGCAAGGGCAAGTCTAATTGAAGAAGAGGCAAGGAATAGGAATCGTGGTGTGGAGGATGTAAACTTCGCGCACCATCAGTCGCAGTGGCCGGGAGGGGCTGGAAACGAACTGCATCCCCTCAGGGCCGCCTTCGCCTCAAAACACGTGGCAGGAAAGACATCAGGCAAAAGGACTGCTCCCAAATGCTGGGGTGCAAAAAAGAGCCCGTCTCTGGGGTCCCAACGCACCACACGCACTCGAGCAAAGAGGCCCAAAGCCTTGCAAGCCAAGATTGATGACCAAGCCCTGAACCTGTGAGAGCGTTCATGTAACGTGCAGGTCTCTGGAGAGATCTTGAGAGCCGGCAGGCCACCTTGCTCTGCGCGGAGTGCAGGCCAAGCTGTTCCATCGCAGCTTCCCACAATCTCCGATCGAAGCCCTTTGCCTCTTCAGACTGCAACAAGCACAGCAGAGCAATGAGTGATTGCCGTGCCAACTAGGTACGAACAAACTTCTAAGTGTCTGACAATGGCCACGGCAGCTCGACCAGGTCCTCCAAGATCCCGTCTTTCTAGGGTTCTTGACAGCCGCTTTGTCACGCAGCTTTGGGATGAAAGCTGAACGGAGCGCTACACAACACCCAACATCACCCAACTAGCATTACAGCACTCTTCCCGCAGTAACGGAATTGTGGCCCCTCACCATCCTCGACTCTCAGGGTATGGGCTCATCCATCACACTAGCCTCCTGACCACCCGCATAGACAACGCTTCGTAGATGTGTCAAGCTCTTGCGCAATTACCTTTTCTGAGCTGCGCTAGTTGGAAATTCATCACAGCAAGATAGCCAGTGTTGCGTGGAAGCTCTGCAGACAAGTTTGCAGTCGCTTCAATGCGCTAAGCCCGCATATGCCTGAGCATGTGCACATGTACTACTCGAGATTGGTAAGACTTGTCCCTGCAGCTCCCCCATGGACGCTCAGAAAAGGAATCGCTTCGAAACACTGAAAGAAGTCATGCTCCAAGGCCTATCTTGAACCAAGTCGCTCTTTCCCGGGAATATGAGTTGCTTAGCATCACAACTTGGGCTGTCCAACGGCGAAGCACCACCGCCTCATCACCACCACCAGAATAGCAGGAGCACCACCACCACCGCCATGATCGGCAGCATCAGCATCAGCACCATAATCACCATCACAAGTGGCCACGCGCACTCGACATATGTAGTGGTGGCATCAGCCTTCCATTGAGCAGCTGCGAAATATTGAGAAGATGCGCATTGACAACACAACCTTTACCGCATCTGCTCGTACCGCCAAGCCTGTTAGTGGCCTACTGGTACCACCAGGCCCGATTACTTTCTGGGCCTCCTTTTGTGAGGCAGAGTCAGGCATTGACTGTTTACCGAATATAGGGCGGTAAGTGCCCCTGAAGCCATCCGTCCACAGCATACGTTTTTTTGCTGAGGTCCCAGCAGCCTTCTAAGCTGTTTTGCTCTACGTCTTCCTTGCCTTCCCTATACGTGGTTGGGAATGAAGGAATCGAGTCGTTTAGTGGTCCCTAAGTAATCCACCAAGAGTATCCACACCGACAAGCAAAATTCATTGCAGGCGTGGGATGCAAATTCTTGGTCTCTCTTGCAGGAAGCGTGCGGGAGGAGGGCTGAAGTCTGATGACCACATCGGAGCCAAACATTCACTAGGTTCTAAATAAGCAAGCCACTCTTAGGCGCCCGAGGCCAGTCAGGATCACTTGCTTGGGCTTTCGTTTCCACAATTGGGCGGACATGTTCCTAGCTGAGCTGCCCAGACATCAAGCATCACCAAAGCTGCAGGCGGCCGCGACGCTTTGGCTTGGCCCAATGCTGGCAGTGTGCAATCACAGTCACAGTCGCTGCACAATCATGAGGCACAACGATGGCAGAAAATCGAAGAGTGTACTGAATCACTGATCTCTGCTGGACTTGCTTTCACCATTTGCAGAGTTGTCAACGCACAGACTGCTTCTCAGCCAAATATCAGCAAGAGTTTGCGAAGGTCCTTGGCTGCCAGGGATCGTCTGGCTTTCCGTGGTCTCGTAAACATACCTGGCAGAGGGAACCACTCATGTCCATCGTTAATGTCTCCCACTCCCATCTGCGCACTCCACTGTGTCTGGGACATGCCAGTCAATCTGGTCCTTCACTTTTGAAGAAACACTGCAGCAGATAGCCAATTGCCGGTGGTTCTGAAATTCCTTTCACGCAGGCCAGTGCACAACCTTTCCGAAGTCCTCGCTGACGTCTCCTGGGATTGGGAGGCGCCCTGCGCGCAGCAGGCGAGACCAAACGAGGAATGTCCGGATGAGCCAGACTCCGAACTCGTTCCGAGACGCCTCCATTCATCATCGGGAGGTATGGCGCATATTCTACTCGGTATGGCCTTGGCAATCCGACATTCTGGCCAGTCTCTTCTGGGATTGAACATCTGAGCAAGGCACCAGCGAGCGGCTTCTTCGCTGATTTTCCAAGGTGCGAAAAGGCATATCTGCTCCGCAGATGGGTCATGGCCATCGAGCCCTGGGCCACAGAAGAAAATTGAAGTTCCGAAGCTTGTTGTACGACACAACTAGACACTTTGTGATCTGCTGAAGGCGAGGTGCGCTGCAAAACTGCATCAGTCAGGGCCATGGGGTACGTAGAGCGCAGGTGCTTCGGATCAGGATCGGCGTCAAAAGGGACCTGCGCAGAGCAGTGAATCAAAGGCACTCAGGAGCCCATATAGATAAGAATTTCTCAAGCTGCAAAACCATGGAGTCTTGTCGCGCGTGTGTCGTCACCCCGTTCCCTCCGCGACAGCTGTCACATGCAGCAGTCGAACTTTTCCCCTTTCACTACTATGGTACAGGAATGAGCAATGTCTCTGCCATAGTCAGGCTGTTGCAAAATCCAAACATGGCACTCCATGTGTACACCATCTAGAGAGCAAAAAGGACATGGCGGAAGATTGTGGCTAGTTGGCGAAACAGGCGCTGAACTGATACCCCCAACCACGTCATTTGCCCTTCTCAAACCGGGCTAAACAGGTGGAAGCGCTCATCTGCATGCCTGTATCAAAGTCCACATTGACCCAGGGAATCAAAACAAAGTAGATTTCCTGTTCCCATCATGAGAAAAAAACCTTCAACGCTAGCTCCAGCCTGCTCAGGCACCAGCCAATTTGTTGGGGCTGGCGGCACCAGAGACTCTCTACCTTGCGGTCAGAACGCTGAAATCCCGCACGGCCTGACGGTAATTGCACCAAGTGACTAAGTACCGAACTTTGGAGGGGCGCAGACCATTCTTCCTGCTCCGTTGTGAACTTTGGAAAGGCGTCCTGGCCGTCTGATTGTCTCTCTCAACACTTCCTGCGGAACAGAACTGCACTTTGGCATTGCAGCATACCAGGCGGGCTGTTTCTTTTTGCATGGCTGAGTTGTTGAACACCTGCTTGAGGCACGGCGTTGCTGAGGAATTCGGATCTGACCTCATCTTATCCAACACCTCTTCTAGTGCCATGCCACAACCAACAAGGCTCTGTCTTCTGGTGTGGCTCCCAGCTGGAGGGTTTTACTCCATGGATCTATGACCGCACGAGTCCTTTCGCTGGTCTGCCAGGTCCACTTCGCAATAGCGCTCGTGCTTGGCATCAACAAAGAATCGATATGCGCACTCCGCATCTCCCGGCATACTGTGCACCTGCCAGGCAAGTTCCACAGCCCGACCGAGGGGCTGTTTTCTGAGGATGTTGGTGCTTGATAGCGATTTGTCTGCCAGAGCAACAGTTGGCTGGGGTCCATGCAAACTCCAAAGTCTCCCGCTCATTCTCCTTGTAGTGGCTTTGCGGTTGACAGAACAAGGCCGCGAGTCACAGATATTGATGCAAGCCAGCCTGGTGGTATTGTCGGAAAGACAAAGCAGTGCCGCACTTCTGTGGTACGCGGCGGCCTCAATCAACTTGAACTTGCTGCTCCCAGCTTGCAGGCTGCACTGCTGAGGAGTGGGAGGCAAGCGCCCCTTGCTCGCAGATATGCTCACATCGGATGACAAGTACTGGGACCCGCGCGAATAGTGCCAACCACAAACAGACTCTCTTGCGCGGCCAAGCTCTCCTGCAAGTGTGGTCTAGGCTAGGGCGACATACGGCACTGCAAAGCGGAGGTGTTGAGCAACTGGCCGCGACACGCGCAGCACAAACTCCCAAAACAATACTGGTATACGAAGCGTGTGCTTTGCCCCCTCTGCAGAAATTCAACCGAGGCAAGACGCCACAAAAGTCTCCAACCTTGGACCTCTCCGCCATGTCAGTGGACAAGCGGCTCTGGCAGCGGTATCGCGACTGACCTCGACCCAGCCAGCTGTCAGTTTCACTGGGCAGATGCAGATCTACTGCTTTGTCGGTCAAGGCAGAAGAGGTTTCCCTTTCTGGCAGTTGTGCAGCTGGACAAGTTTGGCGAAAGGCTTGCACCAACAAAGCCTGCAGAAGAAGGAGCTGCACATGTCTTCAGATTGACATCCACATCACCAGCGGCGTGAAATCTGCTACAAGTAGCTGAGAATGCAGAAAGTGTCAAATTACTAATGCCTTCGTGGTAGGCAGGATTGTGAATTATGCACGCATAGGTCAGTACCTATTTCTGCGCACAGGCTTCAACAAAGCTTCACAATGGGTTGTCGGGAGCATCTCCAGCAGAGGGTATAGGAATTCCTTTGTCTTCTTGCCTTTCGATTTCCCATTTTGATGTGCGAGTGACATGCGCTCGTATTGCAGCCAGAGGCGCAGACATCATTTAGCTGTATCACATTGGTAGGTTGACTACTTGTTTGTCGCGCATGATTTGAATTGCATTTTCTTTTCTACGGCACAAGCCAAGCTGTGCTGGCAAGCATCAAGAAAACACTACAACAGCTGGACTTTGGAGAGAATGCTCACCAATGTCACTTCATGCTCCTTTTCAGGTTCAGATACCACTGCCTTTGTAATCTAGGGTCGTTCACGCTCACTTCTGGGCTGCCGACGCTGCATTCGGATGCGGTACTCCACGAGATTGCAGAGAGGGTGCCTGCCAACGCTGGCAATCATTCCGCAAGACTGTGCAAATCCAAACCTAGATGTCCTCGGCAAGATGCTGAGCATACGCATTGAATGGAGAGATGTGTGAAGCAAAGTCACAAGAGCAGAGACTCTGATGGCAACAGCAGTGGCGGCAGCAACAGCAGCATCTTTCTGAGCATATCTAACGACACCAACAGCATCTTCTTCACCAGCATCAGCAGAGCCAACGCAGCCAACAAAGAAGCCCTGAGTTCCGGGCGCGTCAAAGGCAGGCCAGGTCAGCCGAAAGAAAGTCGCACCATCCTTAGGAGCTTCGAGACGTCAACTGCTGGTGAGCGTTGAGGAAGCGGTTCGGATGAATTCTTGTTCATTGAACTGATCTTGACTGCCTGGCTTACTGCACGCGTCCCTTTCTAAGCAGTGACAAGTTAAGATGTCCTGTTTGTTGGAGATTCTCGAAAGTCAGGCAAGGCAGCCTCCAGTCGCAGGTCGTGCAAGACCAGCTCAGCACCCGCAGGCGGCTGTGGTGGATACATGGCCAGGCCTTATGCAAGCAGGACGAACTTTGTAAGATTGGAATTGAAATGCTGCAATGCTCTCAGATTTGATCAACTTAGCCTTCTGCTGACAGTTTCCGGCAAGGACCACTCACCCCATCGAAGGCTAGTTCCGATCCGAACACACACCTCCACCAGTTCAGACAGTTCCACAAAAAAGGGCTGGTGCCCTGTTGTCAGAGATTGGTGCACTAGGGAGGCTCAAGAGGAGACGATGCCCAACGTCGGCCTATGCAGACTTCAACTCTTCCCTTCAAATCTCTTGGCAGCAGCGTTGAGTCGCCAGTTGAGTTCCCGCAACGCAAAGTGTGATCTGGGTCAATCTCTCACCCTCGCAAGTGGCTTCATGAGGGACACTAAGACTGCACGATGACTGACCCCAGCCCTACTTTGTTTAACACCTATGCTGCATGCAGCATTATCCTTGATTATTCAAATTACTGACTCCAAGCCTGATACACTGCCCCAAAGAAGAAGTTCGGTGCGACCTCAGAATACAACAGGTGCTCAGCTGTGTCCCCATGGTTATAGTGCACGCAACAATAGATACGTCTGCTGCCTCAACCTCAACGTATGAGATCAGCTCACCGCTTCGGGAGTAGTTGTTTAGGGTTTAGGGCCATCGTCCAGTGCACGGATGCAGCATCTACATCTGTCCAAGGTCTAAGGTCCATGTCACAGGAGCCATGCTACAATGTGAGGAATCCTCTGCAGGATTTGGACCGTTTTCTCGCCCATGAGTCTTACATGACTTCTGCGAGCAAGGCCAAGGGTATATCGTGCACGATCTGCGAGCAGTCTGCGCGGATGAACTGCTGAAATGGCGTCAACCTGAGGCCGGCATGCAGTCACCAAAACTGCGGTCTAGAGCGCAGAGTGTTGGACGGCCTTGACCCCAATGCGAGTACTGCCAGATTCATCAATAACCCGCTGTATCGGAACATTTGCGAGATAGGCCGGAACGGCAGACAGTAAACAGAAAAAAACATTGTGTTATCACAGACTCCACGGCAAACAACTTATGACAGCATTACCAATCTGAGGCCTCAGCTCTTGCCAATCATCTACCTTGTTGTCAGTCGAACACATGAACAGGTGCAGCGCAGAACTGTAGATCTTGACTTTCTGTGTCTCATGCTTATGGCACAAGCTCTTGACGAGCTGGACATGCAGGTCAGACAGCATGTCCACGTTTTCTTAGGGCGTTGTCTGATGCTTAGCTGAATCTCACAGGCATGTCTGTGCTCAACAAAGAGCCGAGAGGGTAACACTGGAAAAAGCTGTTTTAACCAATAATTCACCGAGTGGGAGAAGCTCAGATTAAAATCAATACCTCCTTCACTGGGTGGTTATCCCAAACAACTGGTGGACCCAAAACTTTAATGGATACTGGTCCTTCGCTGCGTCTTCCCAAACATGCCAGACGCCTGGAGTGAGGGATGCGCAGGACATAGCCACGCACTCAGAAAGGCAGCAATGGGGGGGTGGGGAGATGGAGGAGGTTCTGATGGACGGCTGTACATGGTATGCACGGCAAAGAACGACGGCATCAATCCCCCAGCCCTTCGACCGTACTTGGCGCAACAGCAGCAGCAGCCGCCGCCATGTACTGCGATCAACACTAAGTTACTAAAACCCGCGTTCTTCTGGATGGGGTTCGCAAATACGTGATACATATATTGTGAAAGCATCGTCTGAAAGCGAGGACTTTGGACAGCAAAACTGTCCGGAGCGGATCCCTATTCAGGTTTGCTTTTGCCCGCAGGCTGTCAATACAGGAGCGCGGCCAAAGCCAACAAAGATTGGGATAGAGGCACGGCACAGGTCAGGATATTCTGACGCCAGTGCGGCAACACCAGATAGCTGAATCGTTCTGTAGCAGCGCAAGGCGGCCACGTCGAGCAGCTTGACGCCACGTGTGCCGGCCGGTATCCACGAACTGGAAGCATGTCGTGTCATGTCGTGTCATGCAGTCTCTGGTAGTCTCTCTTCTCAACAACCCAACAGTCTTCATTTGCTCTCTCCTCAATCCTGCCTCGTGCAGGAGAGGCGAGCCCCGAAAGCCTACACTCCCAAACCTATACAGCGTTAACCACTCAAAGCGTACATTTGGAGCTTATCTTCAGGCTCATGCTCACAAGGAGATCTACCTGCTCATCTCATGGACTTGAGACCCATGCTCCAGGCGGCGGATGCACGCGTCGGAACCTCACCTGGCTCAAGTTTACCCAGCACAACGTCCCATCTTTGGTCCCATGCATGCTCCGCAGGCTGATCATGGTCTGGGCAGATATGCACTGATCCAACAAGAGTGTGGCAAAGTCTTGCCTGATGGCGCTGAACCTCATCAAGCAGGGGATTTTGCGGCACGTGGACCTGCATCGGAGGACTGCTGCCAACTGCCATTGCAACTTTGGTGCAGACCTTTGGAATTGATCCCTGCGCTCCAAGCATGTCTCGCACCTTCCAATCCAGGCGCATCATGGCAGCCGGCGGCGGATCTTCCGCATTCTCTCCCTGCCAGGGCGGGTCTCTCAGCTGCAGATCTGTTTGGACTTAAGCGCTGCCTTGAGCTCGACAACCAAGATCAGTCGGTTCTCTCTGCTCATCTGCTCATATTACACTGGACGTACTTCATCACTGAATGCTGGTCGGCAGAGGACGACGCTGCAAGCTGGCATTCCCCCCCGCGGGGTGGGGAAGGATGGTTCTATGATGGACCCACTTGGTCCGTGGAACTCGGCAATGTGAAGCTGAAGCATGTTAGATGCTCGTGGTCCGCACCCTACGGGTCCGGCCCGTCTTGTAACAGGTGGAACAAACAGGTGGAACAAGTTGAAACCATAAGGCCAGCTATCGCCTACTGGCCGAAGAACCACGGGCTACATACTAACTAAGCGACTTGAGTCATCATGAGATAGCACGGAACCTAGAAGGTCCATCGAGTCCTTTCCCACTTTCTGCACTCATGCCCTCTGCCGAACCGTTGCATGCTGGATGCCGTCTTACGTAGCACTGCACAACGTTGCGTGCCATCATGACAATTTGCTCTGGTACTTCGGTCATACTGTCATCATGTGCAAAATCCAAAGCCTCTGTCTGCAAGTCTGATGATTCACGGAAGACCTTGATTTGCCCAAGCATGGATCGCTACTGCCGCTACTGTAACACATGCTTCTGCTCTCGCAAGCACCATGCCACAGCCAGGATTCCTCTCAAAGTGTGGAGATAGCAAAAGAGCCTTAGCAAGACAAGGCGCCAAGGTTGCCGAAGGAGGTGAGTCGAAGGTGGGGTGGGCGATGGCGATGGCTTTGGATGGTACGGATGACAGGCCTCGGCACGAGAAGTTTCAATACTCCAGTGTCGGACTGTACGCTCAAGCTAAGCAGCTAACTAGACAGGCTCGTGGCGTGCTGAATGACAGGCTGAGATTCCTTCTATCTCTACGTGGACTTCTTGGGGCCTCGCCACTGAAGTGGCGCACTCGTGCATCATCCTGAAACGTACATCTGCAGCGATTTTAAGATGCAGCGATTACAAATTGGCTAAGCACTCAGGATGACTCTCCTTGACCTGGTGACTGCTGCATGGCGGGAGCCACGCACGCCAAAGCCGGAAAACCACGCCATCTGGAGCGAGCAGAGTGGAATGCACGGCAGCTCTAATCGAGGGTTAGGCCCGACACCTTCCCTGTGGTGGCGCAAGCGATGGTCGGAGACAAGGATTTTCTGCTCGTCGCCGTCTAAGCTTTGCAAGGGCAGACGCAAGATCACTACAACCTGAATTCCTCCTTCATCATCCAAAGTGATACAAGGCACAGAAGCAAGAGCTCCGGACAGAGAGGAACGCCCTCGATGGGCAGCCAATCCGATGTGATGGACGCCTGCCTCAGATTTGTTGCATGTGGTTTGAGCATGCGCGAACAGAGCTCACGGTTAAAACGCAAGGCTCCCAGCGCTGAGCGAAATTGCAGCTGGAAGGGGGCTGGTGGTGGCGGGGAGCCAGCGGGACCTGTAATGCATCCGCTTGCCCGTTTCCCTCAAAGACTCAGGAAATCTCAGGTAAGCCCCCAACGCTCATCTTGCCGGACTGGCAGATGGTCAAAGACCAAGACTACCGATCCATCTTGGAAGAGCTCGTCAGGCGGTGGATCAGGTGCTACCTCAGAAGTATGAGGTTGGCACGCGCAATGCTGGGAAGGTGGCTGGGAGATCCAACAGCTTCCCGTGGCGCGGCAGGCGGCGGCACCTTGGCTGGTGATCATCGGCTTTCCCCAAAAGTGCTGGCATCCAAGGCCTGGACAGCCTCCTCTGGCCGGTACCAGTCCGAATCCAAAGGCTTGGACCACTCGCCTGACATTCACAATGCAACCTCCCAGTGTAGGGACGAACTGGCCACCATTGTTCTAAAATTACCTTCAGGTCCCGTCCAAAGTCTGCTTTGACTGATGTCTGCTTCTTGTGTATGCATCTGCAGTGCAGCGCCTTGGTGTTCCGAGGCAGGGTGGAACGCAAGACGTGCGAGAAGGCGAAACCTCAGCGTGGTCGGCTTATGACACCGCATCGCTTCACCCAAGCTGCGGTTTGGTAGGCAAAAGACCGAAGAGAGGCAGCTACGAGTGCCGCAAGAAAGGTAAAGTCACTATGGGATTTCAGCTGCATGGATCCTGCGAGGATTCGCGCGTACTTGACGCGTTGGCATTCTGCAACTGCCTGCTGTGCCACTGCTGCTAGTGGTGCTGCTCTTGCTTCATCGCTACCATCTGCTTCTGGATTTTCAAATATGAGCAGTGTTGCCGATGCATGAATCAGAGAGTCGTGACTGCGAGAAAAAATCCATGCGCCGGAAAGTAAGGTTTCGGCTGGTATGTCACAGATGGTAACAGCTCCTTGCAGTGAACAGGTATGAACAGGTAGCAGGTTGCGTGCGAGCAAGAAAACTGGTCCTCGGCGTGGAACAACAGTGTTGGATCTGTTGGCTCGACAAGGTCTTCCACCGTTTGTTCGACATCATGGCGATCCTTTTCCTCGCCTGGTGAAGCCATGGAACTTGCAACAACATCGAGGCAACACGATGCTGCACATGGACTTCATGTTTCCGTAAGAAAACCATCAAGCATGATGCGCTCGTTTGCGCACAGAGCACGGCGGCGCGATGGTGAGGTTGCCAGCTGCTGGGTGCTAACGTGGCAGGCCTTCTGCATTTCCGCAAACTCGTGCGAAGATCTCTCGGCAGACTGCTTTCGCCACTCGCCGTCTGCCAAGCGCACCCGAAGCACATCTAGGCAGGAATTGGCGATGGTCCTATAATGGCCATGGTACTCGTATCACACTGGTTTCACCCTCCTGTCTATGCTTCTTCTATTTGCCGTGAAGCCTGAATGCTCTGTAAACTTCAGAAAGGCCTTGCCTGGCAAATGATGGGTCACAAGCATCTGCATGCAAGAGGTAAGTCATCTCCAGAACCTGTCCAGGCGCTGGTAGAAATCTTGTAATTATCCTCACCAGTTCGAGTTTACCAGGTCTGTATGACACAAAAGTGGGCATGCTCTGCGGCTCTGCATTTTCCATTTCAGCATTCAATCCTGTACAGGTCTTCCTCCTGCGCGTTCATTGTACAATTGGCACATCAACATGGCTTGAGTTTTGTCTCTGCTGACGTGCCAGGCCCAAACATGGTTCAGGGTAATGACCCATGAGTCTCTCGTCTTACAGCCATACTAGATCCTCGTGATTCATGCTGGATGACCAAAAAAGTGCCGAAAATCAGTTTCTCAGCAATACAGGAGCCACCTATTCTAAATTGCTATCAGCTATCAGTTCAGGAGCTTGTTTGATGGCAAGGTCAGCAGGCTGGACTTGTGCCGGGCGCTCCGAGGGCCCTGCAAACACAATTCCACCCCCATCTCTTCTTCATCACAACTGGGCCCCAGAAGCGTGTGTGAGAGCACGCTGCAATGACCTTGAAGTGAAACGCCCCCGGAAAGATTGGGTGTCGACTCCCTAGGCTAGCATGTTATGATGCCATCTCGCTGGATAAGCAGGAGTATCCTGGATGCAAACACCCATCAAGTGCCCTTGAAGCATGTAGCAGGATTGCCCTTGGCTCTATGTTGGAAGCTTGGGGCAAGCCCGGTGAAACTTCCTTCTGGTGAGAATTCGAACTGTCAGATCATTTCGAAACAATATCACTTCCACTCTCCATCATCTTGACGAACTCGTCAAAGGAAATCTGGCCATCACCATCGAGGTCAACCTCCTTCACCATATTCATTATCACCTCACCATCCGCCTGTTCCTTCAGGATGGCGCCCAACTCTTGCTTGGTGATCGTACCGTCCCCATCCTTGTCGAAGACGCGGAAGGCAGACCACAAAACATCTCGCTTCAAGTACTGTTTTTGGTTCAGCGTCGCTGCAATGAACTCTGTGTAGTCAATGTTGCCTGACCCGTCTGTGTCCAGGTTCTTCATGATTTCGATGAGGTCTGCTGGGATCTCGATGGCGCTGTCAGCGATGCCCTTCTGTATCTCCTCAATGCTCAAGGTGCCATCCTTGTTCTTGTCCAGCAGCAGGAAGGTTGTGCGAAGCTGTTCCAAATCCTCATCCTTCAGCTGCTGTGCGATGAGGGTCAGTGCCACCTTCTTCATGCGCGAGCCTTCGTTGAACTTCCGCAGGTGTTTGCACAGGTCCTTGGCCACCTTGCCCTTTGGAAGCTCTGCATTCTTGTCCAACCAGCGGTGCTCCAGCATCTTGGCTGCAGTCGGTCGCTTGTCGGCATTGAATGTCAGCATCAGAGAGATGCACTCTTTTGCTTCGGCAGAGACGTCATCCCAGTCCTGCCCACATGCTTTCCATTGCGAGAATGCATCTGGCAAGCTGTACAGCAAGTGCACGTAACTTAGGTCTCGTTGACATCTACTGGCCTGTCCCACCCTACAGAGAGGGTACAAGTCTTCGCAAGCATGCGTCACATGTTGCAACAGCAGAACTTTACAAGGTGGGGTCCTCTGGAGGGAATGTGAAATTGCCCTTCTTGACCATCCGAAGAATGTCCGGATCTGAGTCCCCGTAGAAAGGAGGATAGCCACATAACCTGAGCCCAAGCAACAGGTAGCACGACAACAATTTATACATAAAGCACATCTCACACACCAACACGCTTGTTGCAGTGCAGGGGGCAAGATGTAGCAAATGACGCCACAGCTCCACACGTCGCACTTTTCATCATAGCACCCCTGCAGCACCTGCGGCGCTACGTAGTAAGGCGTCCCAGCCTTCGTCTTCATCTTCTCTCCGGAACCCACCTGATGGAAAAAAACATGAAGAGGGCCATCGCAAGTCTTGACACTGCAGCCTAAAGCTCCCAAACGCAGCAAGACATTAAATCCTATGCAGGTCCTCACATCAAGCAGTCCACCTTGTGCTGCTTTGCAAGACCAAAATCGATGACCTTAATCTGTGCGTCGACATCCCGGTTCTGCAGCAGGAAGTTCTCCGGCTTGATGTCTCGGTGGACAAAGTTATTGTTGTGGAGATAGCTCATGGCTCCAAGAATCTGCTGCATGTAGGTTGCTGCACCCCTTTCATCGAATGCACGAGCTGCGTCCCCACCTTCATGCTTCTCTGCTTCTTCCAGGATGCGATCAAAAAGTTCACCTCCAGTGCAGAGCTCCATGACGAGGTACACCTTCTTGGCGTCCAGGAAGACCTCATAGAGTTTGACGATGTTGGGGTGATCTAGTGCTGATTGGATGTCAACCTCTGTCTGAAATCTTTCTCCGTCAGCGATCTTGGTGCGATCAATGGCCTTGATCGCCCGCACGGCATTGGTGGACTTGTGGGTTCCCTTTGACACTGAGCCATACGAGCCTTCGCCGAGCTTCTTCTTGGTCTCGACCTTATAGAATTCGTCCAGCTTGCCGGAGTTCAGCGAGCAAAACGCATGTTTGAAATGCACGCCGTCACTGACGAATTTAGGCGGCATGGCGGATCAGGTGTTGGCAGCCTTGGCACCTCACCAAGCGGAGGGAAGTCTTGAGCCGACATCAAGAGTGAGTGGAGTGGCCGCAAGCAACACCTGACGCATCCGCGCGGATTCTAGCCTTACATGCAACCTTCATGCACAGCTGCTGCACGAACCGGGCATGCCTGTCTCACGAGGGCTCGACGCGGAAGCTCCTGTCAGGCGTCGGTTGCTCTCAAGAAGATAGGTTGAATGCACACGCAACTTGCACACCTAATGTTCGACGCTGTCCTCCTCCTCCGCTGCATCTGCTTCGATAGACCTGTACAGCCGTGCATTGCAAAGCCGCATGTTCTTGAAATGCCCGCACCAAACACACGAGATGCCAGCCACTGCGACTTGAACGCTAAAGCTAAATCTTGAAGGCCCCCCTTTAAGGTGCACGCCTGTCCATCTGTCGAAGCTGTCCAGGATGACTTGTCAGTTGCTTGGCCCTGCAATACATTGGTAAATGCAAGCCGCTCTCTGCAGCTGAATGCCACGGCTCTCAACAGCAACATGGGCTTCAAGACAAAAGCGAGGTCTCGAAGCTTCAGAAACAAGATGTAAGGCATCGGCCCCTTCCCACTTACATCTTCAATCGCAGCAACCACCTTCAGCGAAGTTCAATTCAAGCAGTGCTGAAGCAAGCAGACAAGAACCCTACCACGAGAAAAAGTTTCCGGCTGCCAACAGCAAGTGCGGGTGTTAGCTACCTTCCGAAGATATCTTGGCGAGGTTTCCAGCCAAACCCGCCCACAAGCTAACCTGCTTCAGCTCAACAAGGGAGCGGACTTCACCCCCCTTCCCCGTCAAAGCAGATGAACGAATCCCTGAAGGCCCAGACTGTGCCAACCAGCTCCCACTTTGAGGCATCTAAATCTGCTTCGTCACGAGCAGGCAGTATCTCTCCTTTCAGAGGGCTGATGCAACTTGAGCAGGCTGATGCGACACTCTCCGGCATCCTCCAGTGTCCAGCCGCCGGTCATGAAGCAAGGATCTTCGCTCGAGCCGGTACCTTTCCAGCACAGCCGCAGGAGAAGTAACAATAAAAGTTCAGCTGTATTTTTGAACGCAGAAGCCCCGCACAGCAATCCAGAAAGGAGATGCAAAGAGTCTGAGGGAACGACTCAAGATGTCCACCTCCCCAGAGCGATGCTTGGAACGGAAGCCATGACACTTCAGCTCCTCAAATGGAGTGAGCACAAACCCTCTGCTCACGCTGAATCAACACTCTGAGCCCCCCACGATGCCACAGCGCCGGTGGATTGAACACCTCCTTGTAAAACAGTTGATGCACTTCAAGCGAAGACGGGCCCCAGGCTGTCCTCGCCAGACAAGGTGGGCATCAGGTCGAAGGACTCCAAGGACTGAACAGCGAGTTCCTTGATCTGCAAAGACTTCATCTACCACCCCCAGAAATGCTAGTCGGCAATCTGCAGAAATGCATTCACTTGGGCCACTGCTGCATCCTCGCCAAACGTCGGAGCTGGAAACAGGATCATAGCATCCGTCTTGGTAAAGACAGGCTCACAGGGCCAGTAGCAGAAAAGTAGGCATGGTAAGATTATCGTCGTCGAAGGCATACACTAGCTTTTGTGGCTGACTGCACGTGAAAGTGAGCTCAGGGCTGGCTCGCTCCAGGCCGATACCTAACACGAGCAGCATGCGCACGCTGACCTTCTCCAACTTTCCTACTTTCGCCCTAGCCTTAAGAGATCATGTCCAAGGTGCCTTCCAGCGGGACAGCCAGCGTACTGAAATCCGATATCTTTTGCCGTAGACCAGGTCCCGAAGCGTCAGCAGATGCTCAAACCTATGCTATGCCGTGAACTAGGGCGGAACTCATCTCGTCTCTAGTCTCACACACCATCAGCACAGGTTTGTTGCATGACAAGAGCAAGTTGCTTTTGATGTACCTTGTGATCTCTTGGCAGCTGGCTCCAACGGCTCTAGGATCTGCACAGCCTCGCCCCCACTGCGCTCAGCCTCCGAATAGGAAGGGGTTCGCTATGAATTCTGATGTATTCTGATTCTATGCCTGGAGTGACTTTGCCGGTGCACCCAGAAAGTCTGGGCGCTGCCTGGCCCCACCAAATGCCTCGAAACATCCAGGCATAGCCCAGCATCTGGACTCGGCTCGACATTCATTCTAGGGTTGCAGATGGTTGCAACATCTTGGGAAATCTCTCTTGGTACACTGAAGACTGAAGTCCATCTGGAGCTGAATCTGCAATGTGTGATGTTGCAACACCTCGCCTCTGCTATGCGCTGCAACGGCAATCTGCAAGGAGGCAGGACAGACTCCTGGTCAACGTGCAGTTTTAGAGTCCCGGTGGCTTGTATGCTTGCAGGGTCCTTGGTGATGTGCAATCCATGCATCTCCTGTGACAACTCAGACTGGCAGCGTCCCGCAACAGGTTCGAGCATCCACAGAGCTGAATCTGGGATTGCATTAGCTACCTGTGACACATCTCAACACCAAATGGCACCAAAGGACAAATGGAGTCTCTGGCATTTGACTGCACATGCTAAGCCATCCAAAATGCGAGTTCAAGCAGTAAAAGCGTTCAGCTCCTGAATCAAGACTTGGTACTCCTGCGGAGCTGAAGCTGCACCAAGAGTCTGCTGACCACGAAAGCCTCCAACGACACGAATCATAACAAGGGCGTTCCTCACAACTTCGATCCTGGCTTCTTCAATGACTACATGCAACGTCAAGCTTCAGACTGATAAATTTACGAAGTCATCTGCAAGCCAAGAGGCTGATGCTGAGAGCCAGTTCAGAGTGCGGTGCCAGCATTTTCAACCTGCAAGCAAGCCCATGAACTGGCAAACAAACAGTGTGTCGGCAAGCCCGCTCCCAGTTGTGGGTGGCCTGCTCTGCACAGCCACTGGAGGAGCAATCAGCGGAGCGGGGTAGAACACAACCTCCGAGGCCTGTGCTGTAGTTGCCGTGTCCCTGTGACTGGTCTGATAAGGGCGAAGACAGTGACAGGTGGCACGACACACCTCACAGTCCCCCAGCCGCAGAATTCGGAATTCGACTTCATCATCTTCAAGTCGCGGAATCTGCCAGATGTGATAGCTGAACTCAGGCTGTCTCTTGTCAGTTTGCTAGCATGCTTTCTAGCATGCCCCCTGCAGTACTGATTACATGTTGATCAGCTATCTTTAAATCACATCATCTTCATGAGAGACACGACAGGAAACGCAAGGCTGAAGTGTGCTCATACTCGCTGTAATTCATGCGAGATGTCCTGTGGCAAGGCAGTAGGCTTTGGCTCGTCCCGCGCGTCTGCAACTGCGTGCTCCTTCGATCGAATGCATCCAACAATAGGCTCATTAATGCCAAACGATACAAGAGCCCTCTCACTCCGGGCTGGTTATGTCACAGGAGCCCATTACAGCGTGTTGGAAGCTACAGTGTGCTGGAAAGTGACGCAAGTACTTGAGAGCACGTCAAAATGACGGAACCCTGAAATACGCTGAACGTCAGAAAATGCCGAATTTGCAAACTCGAAAACTGCAAGCAAGGCCTAGATCCGAACCTTCCAACAGTTGAGTCAGCGTTGCAGATGTCCGGCGGCTCTGCAGCTTCTGAGCTTAGACTATGAAGGCTCATAGCTTCACTTCAGAGATTGGGGTTTCCTCCCATCTTCTTTTCCTGTGTTCAAGGCCTCCCTCAGAATTTTCAGGTTGAAGCCTGTAGAAGCTCGTGGGACACAATGTCTTGTCTGCTTGGCGTTTTGAGTATGTGGGCATGAAGGTTTTTGCTGCTTTGGGGGCTCGCGGGCAAGCAGACAGACCCAGAAAGTCTCCTCTGCAGGCGCTGCAGCAGCCTCCACGAAACACGTGGGCTTGCCTGAGAACGTGGTTGAAGGAAGAAGCAGCCAACAGCTCTGGCCGTGAGAACAGTAAGGCAGCCCAGCTGCCTGCGATCTCCAGGAAATGCACCTGCACAAACAAAGTCTGAAATCGGATTCGAGACCGAACGAAAGAGGATGCAACCTGGCAAGTTGTCCAGCCACCACTCGGCCGAGCGCGGCATTGAACTGCAAACGAGCTGTGGCGTCCTGCTCGAGGTGGGGCATGCTGCTGCAACAAACAGTTGGAAAATCAGAAACACAACTCGTAGCCTCCAAAATTCTTGACGTGATGCTTAGTAGCTACTGGCGTATAACACACATCATGCGAAACAGCCGCAAGGGATCTGGATGATTCCGGCTGCAACAGAAAAGCTCAAAGGATTGGTGGTGATGATGAGGACCAGAATGAGGATGAAAATGACATATGCAACAGGGACAAGCATGAAGGACTCTTGAGGTATGGCGCTTTGTTCTCACGGAGGGTAGGCAGAGACTTCGACCCAGCAATGGCAGCTACTGGGGCAGCAGAAGCAGATGTACACCTGCCAGCTTTTTTGCATCAGGCCTGGAGCTTCTCGTAGCTCTTGCGTCAGCTGTGCATCTTGCGGCGCAAGGGCAAGCTTTGAGCACGGTGGATATGCAAAGGGCCACCTGCCAAAGGCAAGCGGCAAACAAGGTTATCAGAAAAGTACGCACTGTTCTAAGGTTCAGCTGTGAGAAATTTGATTCGTGATGTTCACCATCGCTTCGTGTAAGGAAGTGTTCATCATACCATGGGCGCATCACAGCGCCTGCAAACTGACTCGATGATTCGACACAAGAGCTGCAAACAACAACTGTTAGCAGGTGAGATGAAGAGGCAAATGAGTGAGAAGCGTGGTCCAAGAGGAGAATATGAGAGGCAGTGACCAGGAAACTGAATCTCAGCGTAATGTTCCCTCAGAACAGGCAATCGGAAGATCAGCGTTTATAGCTTCACCTTCGGATGGGCATGGACTGGCATAGCTCTGACCCTACAATGGCAAATTCTCCAAGCGGCTGGAAGAGGCCATAGCCTTGTTCTCCTGGCAGTCACAAACATTAAAACTTCGCAAATGGCTATGACTCCAAGAT